TGGGAGGGGAACAGGGGCAGGGGAGGAGATCCACCCTTCCGGGACCAGCCCAAAGAAGGAAGCCCACCTGTAGCAACTCTTTCACCTCTGGATACGGAGGCCCAAACAGCAGGCTTCCAACAATGAGAGTGAAAGAGCCAGGGGGAAGGTGACCATTAAGATGCCACTGCCGCAGGCATTAAAAGAAAAAGACCCAGCAGCAGCCAAGGAAAGCCTTCCAGACTGGGCACGGAATGTTCCTGGGCACGTGGACCAGCAGGCGAACCTGCACTGAGAACTAACCAAAGGGACACAGCAGCCTTCTTGAGTGAATCCTATGAAGAGTGCGTTGTGGACATCTAACCTAGACCTGATCGGGGCATTGGGTAATAATCGTGTCCAGCCCCACTAGCTAAATGCTTCTGAATTGCTATTTTAGGTACACGGCAGACATTTTAAAGATTTTGGTATTTCTTTAACATGCCCTGTAAAGGTAAAGGTAAAGGTTCCCTTGCGCAAAAGCCAGTCGAGTCCAACTCTAGGGTTGCGGTGCTCATCTCCATTTCCAAGCCGAAGAGCCAGCGCTGTCCGAAGACATTTCCGTGGTCGTGTGGCCGGCGTGACTGAACACCAAGGCGCACGGAACGCTGTTCCCTTCCCACCGAAGTGGTACCTATTTATCTACTTGCAATTTCTTGCTTTCAAACTGCTAGGTTGGCAGGAGCTGGAACTAGAGACGGGAGCTCACTCCGTCATGCGGCACTCGGGGGTCTTGAACGGCTGAACTACTGACCTTCCACAGCCTGCAGTTCAGCGTCTCAACCACTTGAGCCACCGCAGCTCCAACCTGCCCTGAGTAAGGCATAAAAGAGAAAGCTGGACTATAATTTTCTAGATTTTTGGGGAAGATGGCAGTGCAATAGCAGCACTGGTGACAATGCTCCGCAAGTGATTTTATTTTCTTGCTTTTTATCTTACTAAAAGTCTTCTGTGGTCAGTAATAATTGCACAATATAATTGTTTCTCCACTCTGAGGTCTGAAGCAGCTGCTGTTTTAAAGAATCTGTTTCTTGTAATCAGCCTCAAATTGCACCAAGTTACTGTCCCCGAGATAAGCCTGGAATGCTGAGTCATTGAGGCTGCTGACAACTTCAGCCATAAACAGTGGCGTAAACTTTGTAAGCGTTTACTACTCACTTCAGCACTGCAAATAAAACAGGCTTGTTAATAAAGAGGCTGTGGGTTGATGAAAGAAAATCTGCAAACTTTGGGGGTTATTCTTTTAAATGGTAATTACTGACCAGGGCATAAGGCTATAGTGCGCCCATAAGGATAGGAATGAGAAATGGGTCCAAATAAAAGGATGTGCGATTTAGAAGACACAACAACACCTCCTGCTAGTAAGCAGGAAAGAATTCTGGATTATTTTGGCACCAAAGAAAAGACTCTCTTTAATCTTCCTACTGCAAACTGCTATGCTCCTTTGGCAGAAATAAAGAACTCTGATGAAATTTCTATGGGGGAAACTGATACCTTGCCACAGTTAGAAATGAATACAGAAACAGTAGATAATACTCTGAAAGGACTTTGTCTACTAACTGCTAAGACAGTTAAATATATTTTTGTAAGCACTGAGTGAAATTAAATTAAGTCTTGAATGGCTTATGAAAACGGTATCAGATTTAACAAGACCAAGTGTTACAACAGCTTGTGACCCTTTCTCTCTGACTACTCCAGCTTTAAAAAGGATCACAGAATCACAGAGTTGGAAGGGACCTCCAGGGTCATCTAGTCCAACCCCCTGCACAATGCAGGAAATTTGCAAATACCTCCCCCTCCACGACCACAGGAAGGATACCTCAGGCTCGGGTCAGATGCAGACTAGAGAAAAGGAATCTTGCAATTTGACCTTGCAAGCACATAAGGTTTGCTTAATAGTGTGTCTATATAATATAAGATATAAGAATTGGGTGCCCAGCTTGAGAAATAAAAAACACGCTGTTTCTCATCTGAGGTCGCGCTTTCCAAAGTATAATGCTCCAACGGACTTAATGTCATTAGAGTCTTTATCTCATTCCAACCATGTACAGAGATTACTTTTAAACTTCAACCACAGAAAGATGCCTACGATGATACTACGACAGAAAACCTTTTTGGCATCTAGAGGACTTTTCCCAGTCAGAGTTTTTGACAACACCACAATAACCCCCTTATTTTCCAAACGGCAACATGCGAACACTATTGCAGCCAAGGATTCTCTCCTGGAAACTATATCAGCAGCAACGCTGCAGGGAAAAAACTAGTCTGCCTAATATATCCAAGAACCATCAATGTAACGCTGGTTGCTCTTATCTTGAGAACTCTATTGAAGAAGAATCAGCTCTTTTTCAACTCTACCAGATGACGAGCAACTATCTATAACAGCAAGACTGGACCGATTAAGAACAAAGCTCTCAAAAACAAAAGAAGCAGGAACAACTCAAATGTTTTCCCAGTGCCCAAATCGTAACCTTGAGAATCCAGCTACTACAGCCATAATCTCTTCTTCTAGCAACACGACTGATAATCTTGAAAGCCCTCAGATGCATTGCCACAACTATTTCAACAAGGGGAAAATAATTTGGTCCTCCTTACCACCAGGAAGAGTAGTGTCTGTATCGGCAAAAATCTGAAGGAGTTTTCGTAGCTCATATTGCGTCCTGCACTGCTGCAACATCAGCTCGAGAAGAAACGAGACCTGCGACTTCAACCACGGCGCGGGCAGAATGGGAGGCAACTCTTCATCGGTGGCCTGGAGCTGATCAAAGATAGTCTAAAGTAAGTCGGGCCCCTGAAGCTATTGAGATATATGTCAGAGTGATAGAGGTAGCAAGCAGTTACTATAGATCAGTTTGATCTGTTTGTCAGTCCTAGCTGTCATGCTAGTAATCATGTAATTACAGCCAGGTGTTTTCTAGCAGGTGTTGCTCTTTCAGGTCTTGTTAGAGTTAGTGATTACATCACCTTGTTAGAGATTGGCTGGGGTTTAGCATAATAGCTATCAGTTTAGTAAGCTGGAGGGGACTCAGTTCTCATAGACTAAGGCATGACATGCTGTTGAGTAGCCTGTAAATATCTCTGTGTATATTCACCTTTATAACTATATAAACTCTCTGTGCACCTTCGTAACTGGTCAGTCTCCCGCTTATTATTTACAATGCCCAATAAGCCCCCCACCCCAGTCAAAATTAAGGCAGCTGTCCACCAAAGACTGAAATAGTGGACATAGAGTGAGGGTTTGTTTTCTCAAGTTTCCTCTCCTGCCAGTTCAGTGGGCAGAGCTTTGCTTAGTCCTCCCACTTCTGACGGAAGGCAGATCCCCAAGTTCATAAGTAAAGAGAAAAACTGTGGAACTCTGACTTCCTAAATTTCTGTAACCATCTGAACAAACTGTGGAACAAGTGTTAATTAAATGAGGAACTAGAAGACATTCCAGGCCAGCCACTGGCCTGTGCAAGGTCCTGATCGGAGGTTCTTGGAAACTATCAGACTCCTGACCACATCCTGGGTGTTAAGGGTACCTTTCAATCCATTTGTGAAAAGAACCCCCCAGAATAAGCCCCATGTTACATAAATGGAGAAGGCATCTTTTCCTAGGGGTGCTGAACAGCTCAAGAGTGTCCTGGGTGCAAAAAAACAACCCCCCCAAGAGACCCATTGCCAAAGAACCCGCTGGAGTGTTTGTGTCGCAGAAGTGGATGCACCGAAGGCATGACTGCCCACTTTGTAGTGTCTTACATGAGAGCAGTGCTGCCTCTAAACTGTGGAGTCTTGTGAGCAAAAATTCTACTTGGTGAGCTACCGGCATTAAAGTTGTGAGCAAGCGATTTGGCTGCTGCACAAATTAGTTTGCTCTGGAGCCCTCCTTCCTGAGCGAAGACAAAAAGGTGTGAGCCATAGGCTAAAAAAGCTGTGAGCTAGCTCACACTAACCCAGCTTAGAGGGAACACTGCATGAGAGCCTACGTATTTCTTTTATAGAAGAAGAAGAAGAGAAGAAGAGATTGGATCTATACCCCTGGCCCTTCACTCAGAGTCTCAGAGCGGCTCACAAATTCCTTTCCCTTCCCCTCCCCACAACAGACACCCTGTGAGGTGGGTGGGGCTGAGAGAACTCTGACACAAACTGCTCTCTCAGGAACAGCTGTGCCAGAGCTTGTGACTGACCCAAGGTCACACCAGTAGGTGCAAGTGGAGGAGTGGGGAATCAAACCTGGTTCTCCCAGATTAGAGTCCGCACACTTAACCACAACACCAAACTGGCTTCCCTTGGAGTCTCAGAGTGGCTGACAAACTCCTTTCCCTTCCCCTCCCCACAACAAACACCCTGTGAGGTAGGTGGGGCTGAGAGAGCTCTTTTGAGAACTGCTGGAGAGAGAGCAGCTCTGAGAGAACTTGTGACTGACCCAAGGTCACATCAGCAGGTGCAAGTGGAGGAGTGGGGAATCAAACTCGGTTCTCCCAGATTAGAGTCTGTGCACTTAACCACTAAGAGCTGTTCTGGAGGCCAATGCTCCCCAGAACACACAGCCCATTTTTGAGAATTTTCTTGGGCCAAACATCCTCGCTTGGACGCCCTTGTGCCCAAACCCCAAAAGCAGGGTGAGCAGAAGACACAGAGTTCTCCCGCAAAGCAGGCAGGGCCCATACTGGGGGAGTTGCCTCTCCCTGGAAACAGAAGGGCCATGCAGATGTCTGGCACAGCCCTGCTTGCCTGCTTGGACCCAGGGGGGTCAGAAACCCACCCAGGGAAATCCTCCTCCACCAGCAGAAGACAAGGTATCGTCAGCTGTCCTGAACAGCAGACAAAGAACCAGGAATGACATAAACGAGACATGTCCCACCGAACAAGCCATAGCAAGGCCAGTGAAACCTGACACCTAGAAAAACACAACACTATAGTAAATACCATACACATTGAAAGCGACAAGAACCCACACCTTGGTCACTAAATATTTGAAGAAATGTTTCGCTTTACTTTTGAAAGACTTGCTTGGAGCTCAAGGAGTTTGGTCTGAGCTTCGTGGTAATTTCTGTAGTCCATGCACCATTCGTACACCTCGAGAGCGGTCAGCAAGGGAGAGTCCTTGAATACAGGAAGAGAACACACACGTCACATGTACATAAAAGTGAATCCCAAGCAAGAGGCACAGTTGTTTTGAAAATGTTGAATGTTCCACCACCTTGAAATCTAGAAGTGTGTAAGCACGGCAGGGAATGCGGCAGGGGAGAGAAAGTGTGCCCCTTCCTTAATTCAGAATGGGCGGCCGGGGGGCGGGGGGGAACCTGGCCCCCAACTTTCTTGCAGCTTTCAGTCCATCTTTCCTTGTCTCCCTCCCTTTATGCCCCCCCCGTGCCTCTCTTGGCACAGTGTGGGGAGGTCTGTTGGCACAGAGGACGCCTTCTGACTTGCCAGTTGTATGCCAAACATTCCCTGTAGAGTGCGTGTGTGCGTAACGAGTCCAATTCTGCAGCAGCAGTAGCAGCAGCGCTTTTCCCTCACTCCTGAGGCTCTGGGGACAGCAGGAACTTGTTGTCTGCTAGCCAGGCAGGCCAACTGGAGGCTCAGAGAGCTCCTCCTCCTCCTCCTCCTTCTCCTCTTGGCACCCAGCTTATGAGCAGAGCCTGCCCTGGACCAACATGAGATGCTCGCCTGGCAAAGGCTGCCCAACGCCAGAGCCGACGAAGAACCCCGATCAAATACCTGCGGGATGGTCTCTCCTAGGGCTGCAAAAGGGAAAGGCTCACCTTCAGAAAGAGCCGGAAACCACTCAGAAGGGTTCTAACTTTCTGCCTCCTTAAAAGGGCCTGCCAGAGGGTGGCCAAGTCCTGAAGGTCCCACTCGTGGGTTTCAACGGAGCCTTCGATGTGGTCGGTCACGTCACCCGCCGTGGAGCCATCCAGAGAAGTCAGGATCCAAACACAGAGGCAGTGGAGAACGCTGGCGTCCTACCAAATGCGTGAAGAGCGTGGACAGAGAAGGGAGCAAGGAGGGGGGAGGGGAGTTGAAGAGAGACGATTCTCCGCTGCTTAGAAACAAAGGTACAAAAATTCCGCCCCTGCCCTCCTCACATAGCATCATAGAATCATAGAATGTTAGAGTTGGAAGGGACCTTACAGGTCATCTAGTCCAACCCCCTGCACTCTGCAGGAGCATCGCCGAAAGAGAGCCCTACAACATACCCGAAAGACGGTTGTCCAGCCTCCTCTGCTTGAAAACATCCAGCGAAGGAGCACCCACCACCTCCCAAGGTTCCACTGCTCAACCACTCTTACAGTTAGGAAGGCTCTCCGGATATTTAGCCGGTATCGACTCCCTTGTCATTTCCACCCATTAGATCTAGTCTTGCAATCCGGAGCAAGAGAGAACAGATCCGCTCCATCTTCTACACGCAGCCCTTCAGATACTTGAAGACTGCAGTCATGTCCCCTTCTAAGCCCTCTTTCCCAGGCTAAACAGACCCAACTCTTTCAGCCTTTCCTCCTAAGACCTGGATGCCAACCCTCTCACCATCCTTTGCACAAGCCCCACTGAAACGGACAGGAGGGCAGCAGACGCCCCCCCCCCCCCCCGAGTCACCCCTCGGAGAGTTCCTTACCTGGAAGCAGGCCGCGAGCACGCTCAGGACAGGAGCGCGGTGATTCAGGGTTTCGCCCAGGAGGTAACGCCAAGGGTGGGGCTGGTCCTGGCACTGAAGCAGAATGTGGAAGAGACCGCTCGTCGTGGGGCTGCCCGGCTTCTGCTCGTGCCTCAGTATGCAGGGGCTGCTACCCTGGCTCCCCGCCCGAGGGAGGAGGGGCCACAGGCTCTCAAAGGCCAGCCTCAAATGGTCCTGCAGAGGGAGGGAGAAGTCGGGGAGGATGGCCAGGACCTGGGGAGGGGGGGGGGCACCACAATTTAAAAAGCAGAAACAGAACAGAGGAGCCACCTGGGGAGGGGGGCAGTGTTCCCTCTAAGCTGAGTTAGTGTGAGCTAGCTCACAGGTTTTTAGCCTCTGGCTCACACAGTTTTGTCTTAGGTCAGGAAGGAGGGCTCCAGAGAGCAAACAAATTTATGCAGCAGCCCAAACGCTTGCTCACAACTTTAATGCCAGTAGCTCACAAAGTAGAATTTTTGCTCACAAGACTCCACGGCTTAGAGAGAGCATTGGGGGGTGGGGTGGGGGTGGGGGGTTACCATTCTGCCCCATCAGTTTTGGCACAGGAGAACACACACAAGTAATCCGAAACAATCTGGCCCACACAGGCTCACCTGGACCTTTCTGCTTCAAGGGCAAATATTCTCTCTTTCTCTCTCTCCCCTCCCTTTGTCAGCAGGAGCTCTGCTTATTTATCTTTTTAATTCCAAAAGGGGCTCTCTTCTACTGGCAGTGGAAACCAAGACCCCACTCCAGACTTAATAAATTGAAAATACTTCGCTGGCAGTGCCTGGCCTTTGCCTCCACCCTCAATGGCTCCTTACCTCAGCTGGCTGGTAGTTGTACATCTGGGCCTCGATAATAAACTGCAGCCACTCGTTCGACCTGGCGCACTCCTTCAGGTAGGAGGTGTTCAGCCTGAGGTTGTGGAGCCTGCAGAACTGGACCACCAAGGACCACTGCTTCCTGGCGCTGCTGGACGTCCTACGCCAAGACAGACAAGGTCACCTTTTCTCAGGCAGGCAGGCAGCCCATAACCACGGGTGTGATTCTTCTTTTTTGGGAGTGGGGGAGGAGGCAAGGATCCATTCAAAAGTGTGTGTGTGGGGGGGGAGATGGACATTCCTTGATGAAACACAGTTAAAGGACCAAGGAAAACCAAGAAGGCAATTTTCTGCCAAGGGGAAATCGGCCACCTATGGACCTTCGAACAATTCACTCTGTGCAACAAGCAGAAGGTGGAGAAGTTACAGCTTCAGACATGTCAACAGGAAGGAGTACAGGCCGCAGGAGGGAAAAGCGCACATGTGCACAATCATATCCAGGGTCACCACCTTCAGGAAAATCCTTCCAAACAGCACATGTGGCCACTTGTTTGCCTGGCCTCCCCTAAAGGGACAGTTTGAAGGGCAATTCCACATGCAGAAGACTCAAGAATTCAGCGTCCTACAGATCAAGTTGCAAATGGCTATTTCTTCAGAGGTAACCAGAAGCATAGCCGGATTAACATCCCAGCACAATGCATGAGCCATAAATCCCAATCCCGTGCATTCATCCAAACCTTTGTCAAAAGCAGCACAAGCCGACGGACTACGGAGCTCATTCCCAACAGGACAGTGTGCTGCACCCCACTGTGAGAGGAGGAGGCATTCCATACCACATGGCACACAACCAGGGTTCCCTCTAAGCTGAGTTAGAGCTCACAGTTTTTTAGCCTCCGGCTCACACATTTTTGTCTCAGCTCAGGATGGAGGGCTCCAGAGCAAACTACTTTATGCAGCAATCAAATAACTTTAATGCCAGCAGCTCACAAAGGAGAATTTTTTGCTCACAAGACTCCGCAGCTTAGAGGGGGCGTTGCACACAACCTCCCCCCCCCCATGGCCAACTTTCTAGTCACTCAGAACGCCGTGGATGACTCACTTCTTGATGTTCTGATGCTCGACCTTATCCCAAACGGCTTCCTCCAAGCAAACCAGGAGCTCTTCTGCGGCTGTTTTGACTCCCTTCACTAGCTCTGTCAGCTTTTCAACTAAAAACAGAACAGGGGAAACGGTTCCGTTTACTATGTTTAGACCTTGCCTTTTTTCCCTTTGTGCATCAGATTCCCCGAGGGGCTCTCCCCACTCCTGGCTCTGCCTCAACTCAGCAAAGTAGTTAAATCATATCCGTTTCATGCAAATCCTGGGGATATGGCGGAGAGTACATTTCTTTGACTGATGGCTATCTGTCTCAGTCTGCAGCAGCAGTTCTCAGACTGTGGATAGGGACCCCCAAGTTTGTTTGTTTGTTTATTGTCAGACTTATACCCCACCCTCCCAGTTGGTCCTGACCCTCTCGTAGGTGTCTCTCACAAGGCCAGGAGAGAAGAGGTTCCGGAACCCTTAATGGCCGTGAAATACAGTTTCTGTTTCTCCATGAAGCTATATATATTTATCAAATACGAAACAGGAAAAACGTAACGTTGCTCAATGCTAACCAAAGTGAGATCCTCGCTTTTTATTCGGGGCCCGCTTCTGCACTGACCCGGCTTCAGGGCCCTCTTGCAAGGGAACGCCATTCTGCATTCCCTCTGCCCAGCATAGAAAGCAATAATGCAAGCAACTAAAAACAGCATATCTGTTTGGGGAGAATGGTGTACTTGCATTTATAAACTCGGCATTTAACCAAATACAATTCCTCAACAAGGGGGGGGGGGAGTGTTTATGCTTCAAACAGCCACGGTTAAGACGTATATTCCAACGGATCCCTACAGTAATTCTGACATGGCTGTGGATTTTTGCATTCATTACAGATGCTAGACTTCTTGGAGCATTTCCAAGCACAGTCACCAAGGGTCAACGGAACTGAGCCACAGTTCCCTTCAAGCACTGAACTCCCCTGCAGTGGGCTTCTCTGTTCCTTGAACGAAGGCAAGCAAAGAGTGCGAAAGGCGCTACCCAAGGACTCCCGGATGGAGTTGTACTGCGGCTCCTCTCTTCGAGACATGAAGCTCAAGATCACGTTGGCCGCTTTGACGTCCACCCGGAGCTTAAGGCTATCGAGGCCCAGCAATTCCAGAAAACAGACACAGGCAGCAGCCACGGAAGGGACATGGAAGAGAGACAGGGCCAAAGCATAGGCTTCGTGGCCGGCCTGCTGGACCCTAGAAAAGGAAGACGGGCAATCAGCACGCAAAGCACAGGGGTCAACCCTGAAGAACACAACTCTGAGCTAACCTGGAAGGAAAAATCAGAGAACAAACTCTGCGGTGCCCTCCCACCCCCCCAACAATTCTGGCCGGTCTTAAATACTCACAGCTGCTTTGGGGTTTTGCTCTTTATGAGCTGCTGGACTAAGAAGGTCCCAAAAGCGAACGAGGGGCGCTCGTGTCGCAAGTAGTAGCAGAAGTCCAGCTGTTCGATCACAGCGTATTTGTTGATGAGGCTGGGGCAGGAGAAGTGAGGAAGAGTGCTGCTGGCATCTGGACAGAACAAAGAGGGATCTTTTGGGAAGCCTAAGCATTGTGAGTTCCCACTTCCCAGCGCTGACCGGAGAGGGGATCTGGACTAGCCAAGACTACTGTGACTGTTGTAGTGAAGGCTGTCAAGATCCAAGCTTGTTTGTTAGGTCGTTAGCACAATTAAAGCTCTGGTCCATCCTTGGGAGTTGTCCACTGTAGTTAATTGTTTTAAATTGTTTTAACTGTATTTTATTGCACTGTGTGCCTTAATTGTGTAATTGTTTTATTTATTTATTTATTTAAATATTTCTACCCCGCCCTCCCCGCAAGCGGGCTCAGGGCGGCTTACAGGGGCATTACAGCCGATACATAAAATCAATAAAATCCAATAAAAACCAATAACATATTAATAACAATAAAGTGCTTAACGCTCCAAGATGGCTTAAGTTGTTAGTCCAGAAAATGGTCCGAGTCCGTCAGCAGGTCTTGCTCCCACGTGGATCACCTTATCGCCGGAATATCAGGCATCCCAGTCTAGGTGACATTCCACCGTTGGTAGTGGTGGAGTGGCGGCGGCCCCTACATATAGGCCTGGTGGAAGAGCTCCGTCTTACAGGCCCTGCGGAATTGCATGAGATCCCGCAGGGCCCTGATCTCTTCCGGGAGCTCATTCCACCAGGTAGGGGCCGCCACTGAGAAAGATCTTGTCCTTGTTGCAGCATAGTGCACCTCCCGGGGGCCCGGAACCACCAGCCGGTTCTGGGTCCCTGACCGAAGAGCTCTTGGGGGCATATATGGGGAAAGGCGGTCCCTCAGGTAGGTCGGACCCAGGCCATATAGGGCTTTAAAGGTGAGTACCAGCATTTTGAAGCAGACTCGGTATGCTATTGGCAGCCAGTGCAGTGCCTTCAACCCAGGCTTGATGTGCTCCCACCTGGGGAGGCCCATCAGCAGCCTAGCTGCCGCGTTCTGCACTAGCTGCAGCCTCCGGATCAGCGACAAAGGCAGCCCCATGTAGAGAGCGTTACAGTAGTCTAGCCTTGAGGTGACCGTCGCATGGATCACTGTAGCCAGGTCTTCGTGGTCGAGGAAGGGAGCCAACTGCCGAGCCTGCCTCAGATGGCAAAATGCAGACCTGGCAGTGGCTGCTACCTGGGCCTCCATTGTTAAGGAGGCATCCAGGAGCACTCCCAAACTCCTAACCTCCGACACAGGCACCAAAGGCACCCCGTCGAAGGTCGGGAGAGGGAGCCCCAACCCCAGACCGTTCCGACTCAGGCCCAGGACCTCCGTCTTCGCTGGGTTCAGTTTCAGCCGGCTCAGCCTGAGCCACTCAGCCACGGCCTGTAATCCCTGGTACAGATCTTCAGGGTCGGAGACCGACTGGCCGCCCAACATCAGATAGAGCTGGGTGTCATCTGCATACTGATGACAACCCAGCCCAAACCTCCTAGCAATCTGGGCGAGAGGGCGCATATAGATGTTAAAGAGCATCGGGGAAAGCACTGCCCCCTGGGGGACCCCACATTCAAGTGGGTACCTCTGGGACTGCTGTTCCCCGATTACCACTCTCTGTCCCCGACCTTGGAGAAAAGAGGCAAGCCATTGAAGGGCGAGCCCCTGAATCCCCACGTCGGCGAGGCGGTGGGTCAGCAGCTGGTGGTCGACCGTGTCGAACGCGGCCGACAGATCTAACAGCACCAGTGCCGCCACACCACCTCGATCCAGATGCCTCCGGAGGTCGTCAGTAAGGGCAACCAGCACCGTCTCCGTCCCATGACCAGGGCGAAAGCCGGACTGAAATGGATCCAGGACAGAAGCGTCATCCAGAAAGCCTTGCAACTGTGTCGCCACCGCCCTCTCAATCAATTTGCCCAAATAGGGCAAATTTGACACCGGCCGATAGTTGGTCAATTCGGTCGGGTCTAAAGTTGGCTTTTTTAAGAGAGGGCGGACCATCGCTTCCTTAAGTGCTTCAGGGAACCGTCCCTCAATGAGGGACTTGTTGATAATCTCCCTTACAGCACCTCGAAACCCCTCGTGGCCCGCCTTAATGAGCCAGGAAGGGCACGGATCCAAGGAGCATGTGGTTGGGCGCACAGTCATGAGCAATCTGTCAACTTCTTCCAGACTGAGCGGGTCAAAACATTCTAAACCCAACGGGGACGTGCAAGGGGCCTCAAGTTCGCTCACTGTTTCAACTGTGGCGGGGAGGTCATGGCGGAGCACCGAGACTTTATCCGCAAAAAAGCTCGCAAAAGCCTCGCAGCCTATATCCAATTCCCTACTATTTTGTCTGCCCTGTGGCAGAGTTGTTAAAGACCGAATCGTTCTAAATAATTGGGCTGGGCGTGAGCTAGCGGATGCAATCGCGGCTGCATAGAATTCCTTCTTAGCAGCTTTGACCGCCATCTCGTAGGATTTCATAAGCGTCCTAAAGGATGTTCTCGATGCTTCGTCACGAGCACGCCGCCACCGTCTCTCTAGCCGTCTAAGTTCACATCTAAGTTCACATCTATGTCCTGTAAGCCACCCTGAGCCCGCGTGCGGGGAGGGAGGGATAGAAATGTAATTAATTAATTAAATAAATAAATAAACTGGCAAGCAAACCTTTTTTCATTCACAAGAACAAAAAACTTTCGGACAAGCATAAGTGTAGCAAATGGCATAATGCAAAAATAACCCGTGTGACTCAGGTGGTGGGGATGGACGGAACAATATCGACTAAACAAAATTTAGAGAATCTAATAACTACATCCCTTTCTTGGTATGAGTACTTGCAAATCAAGCACCTTTTAGAGAATCAAAAAAATAGCAAAAAATTTGAAACAACCGTTGAGTGTGAAAAATTGATCATGGCCTATACATTACAAACCAAACAACTACGCTCTAGGATTTATAGAATATTGCTAAATTTGGAAAGCTCCACCAAATTTCCATACCAACAAGCATGGCATAAAGATGGACTGACTAATTTAACTTTATCACAATGGGATGAGATTCGATCTCAGCAAATATACAAATCTAGTAATATCACTATTCGGTTACAAGCTTTAAAAACTTTAACACGATGGTACTTAACCCGTTAGATTAGCTTATATCTTTAAAACTAAATCAATGTTATGTTGGAAGAAATGTGGACAACGTGGAGAGTCTATACACTGTTGGTGGAATTGTACTATTATGCAGAGCTTTTGGAAAAAGATCCTAGTTCATATTCAAAGTATGTTGGGAGTTAACTTAGAGTTTAAGCCGGAGGTGACATTATTAAATTATGAATATGGCAAGGACTTAACAAAAGCCACTAAAAATGCAGTTACTATTGTATTGGCGGCAGCCAGGATGGTTGAACCCATCAAAACCGAAGATCTTGTGTCTTAGATCACTGTTAAGGATGTCAAGATAAACCCCCCCCCCAGTATATTCAAAAGATGCTGATATTAAACAGCCATAATTCCTTAATGTCCAAATAATTTTTGCCTCTTGTATGATGGAAGAATGTTGAAGATTGTTTTTTGTTACTTAATGGTTTTTAGAGATTGTGTAGGAAAACAATGTGTACGGTGGAAGAGAGAGGGTGGGAGGTTAGAGATGGGGTAAGCTAATTGAAACTCGATTTGAGTAGTAAATTAGAGCTTTAAGATTTCATTGCTATTGTTGCTGTAAAAAAATTATTTTAATGTAAGAAGTTCTCCTTGTCAATACCGTTGAGAAATTAATAAAAAAAAATATTTTAAAAACAACAACATTCAGACCCGGGTCTGCGCCTTGGTGTTCACCCTCATCCTCCCTCCCTCCCCGATTCTAGGTGCGACACTGCAACTGCTCAGCTCCTGGAAAGCCACAACACGTGCCCCGCCAGGTGGGGCTTCCTCTCTCTCATGCTCCGAGGCCAAGGAGGGACACAGACCCCCCCAAAAAACCCCTTCTCTTTCCCAGCAAGGGCTCCGGAGCAGCAAAACGGCCTTGGAAAGAAAGCAGAGCCCATTGGAGGGTTTATCCTCAACACAGAGAGACATCAAATTTCTTTTCTGATCCTACCTTCTGCCAGAGGAGGAGTGACCCCTCGGTGTCCAGTCTCCTGCCCCACGGACTGAGAACTGACAGTCCACAAAAGAGTCAAATTGTGATCCTGATACATCTTTTTGTCTTATTTATATTAACATGATTCCCATTTACTTAGAATCGTAGAATCACAAGGGGGCACACAGGCCATCTCATCCAACCCTCTGCTCAAAGCAGGATCAGCCTACAGCATCCCTGACAAGTGTTTATCCCCGCCCTCCTCTAAGAGACGGCCCTTCAGATACTTAAAGAGAGCCAACATGTCCCCCCTCATCCTCCTCTTCTCCTGACTGAACATTCCCAAGAAGTCCCTCAGCCTTTCCTCATAGGGCTCAGTCTCCAGGCCCCCGATCATCCTCATCGCTCTCCTCTGCACCCGCTCCGTTCTGCCCATATCCTTTTTGAAGTCAGGCCCCCAGAACTGCACACAAGACTCCAGGTGCGGCCTGACCAATGTGGTGAACAGCAGGACTATGACATCTAGCAAATTGGATGACATGCCTCTGTTGATGCACCACAAGATCATGTTAGCCTTTTTTGTCGCTGCATCACACTGACTGCTCATATTTAACTTTCTCCATAACGGGCACCTAAAACAGCTTGCAGCATTCCCCCCACCTTCTTTTTATCCTGTCGACAACCCTGTGAGACAGAGTGACTTTCACCATTCAGCAGACCAGTCAGTACAGTGAAACCACAGAAGTTTTTTTTTTTGCTCAAAAACAATCTCACAGCAGCTCCCAAAACAGACCTACTTAACTGTTTACAGAATCCACCTAGATGTGATTTATTCTGAGTTCAACATGGTCATGAGGTGCCGGAAGTTACTTACCAGGCATGGCGAGCGAATTTGCCGGCTGCCAGCCAAACAATTTAGCAGGATCAAATGGAGCTAATGCCTGAAAATTTAGAAAACAATACTAAACAAACAACACTGACAAAACTTCCAGGATGGTTTCAAGCAGCGTTCCCTCTAAGCTGAGTTTAGTGTGAGCTAGGTCACAGTTTTTTTAGCCTCCAGCTCACACATTTTTGTCTTCGCTCAGGAAAAATGGCTCCAGAGCAAACTAATTTATGCAGTAGCCAAATCACTCACTCAGAACTTTAATGCTAGTAGTTCCCAAGTAGAATGTTTGCTCACAAGACTCCACGGCTTAGAGGGAGCATTGGTTTCAAGCAAAGCACATATACGTTATTCAGTGTAAATTTCCAACAACTTCTGGATATGCGGTGGAGTAACAGACTCACATTTACCACCATTGTCCACCTCAAGAAACGCAGCTAAAGACAACGTAAAAGCACGCCGGCCTAAGAGGAGAAAATCATCTGTGCGATATGGCATGCCACCTTTTTTTCTTCATTTGCACTTGGTTCATAAATTTAAAACATACTTGGGTTCAGCCAGCCTGGCCATGCCATAGTAACCTCAAGGTTAGATTGCTGTAACACACTGTATGTGGGGCTACCCCTGAAGACTGCTGGCAAACTTCAGCTGCCACAAAATGCCGTGGCTCAACTGCTGGCTGGAACTAGTAAACATACACATATTTCTCCTGCTTTATGAGCTCTGCACTGACTACCTCTTGGTTTCTGAGCACAATTCCAGGTGTTGCCCCTTACCTTTAAAACTCTTCTTGGTCTAGGGTCCTCACACTGCAAAGGCTGCCTTTTCCTATATACTCACGCTGGGACTTTGGCTGCCTGGACTACAGATTTTTCTGTTGGGGTGCCGTTATTGTGGAACGGCCTTCCTGGGGCTGCCACCTTGATGGTTCTCTTAAAATGGCTTCTAACGTAATTCAATCCAGGTTGCATTCCCATTCCTCTTATTTGTGCTTTTTTAGCCTGTTTTATGTCTGGTTTGTCTTTTCCAGACTGTGTGCCTGCATTTTGTTCATTTTGTTTTACTGTATCTCGCCTCAGGTTCTTTGAAAGAGAGACAGGACAGAAGGGTTTCAAACATTTCCCCATGAAGTATTTCTCTATCAACAGCCTAACGCTATGTAACTGTTGCATTGGAGCCCTCTGTTTATCATAGGAAACAGAGTCAAGCTATTCTCTTTCTGTCCCTTTTTCTGTGGTAATCTATTGCTCTGAATCAGAAACTGCCTTGAACGTGATAGCACAAAGGTGGAACAAAACAAAAAAAAACCCCTAAAACTCTGCTTGCCATCCTATCTTACCCTAAAGTTACAATACCAGGAAGAAGATGGAATCTCCACTGAATCCCTGGCACCAAGACAGCTCCAATCTAAACCGGACTAGCAACACGGCTACACAGTCACAGCTTCCACACTGGTGGAAATTCTACACGGGAGTCACTAGGAAGGGAAACGGCTGGAGATTGGGCGGCCCGGAGGGGGGGGGGGGATCATCCAAGGTGTGGCCAGCTGAATTCTCCTCCTGCAGGACTCGGGGACCTGCACGACCCAAACGCTGGAAGCCCACATTCCTGTTAGAGCCCCTTCCACCACCTGCACTGTCTAAACGAGAGCTGTCGCTGGTTCAGCTATGCCTGCTGTTATTGTGGGCTCCATACACACACCCCATCTGGATTCCAGATGACGGCTGTGCGACAGAAACTGTTCACAACTGGATTGTCTTGTCCACATGGGAAAATCCAGTGGTGAGTGACCCTGAAGAGCCGCTGCGTCGTGAGGAACGTTCTCTGACCACACAACCTGAGCCCAGGGGCACCCTTGAGACCCAAAAAGTATAATTCGGGGTCTAAGTGTTCAAAGAAGGGTGGGTGCACATGACAGCTGATGCCCAGAATTAAACTTGGTTGGTCTTCGAGGTGCCACAACTGGACTCAGACGTTGTTCTGTTGCTTCAGACCGACAGGGCGACCCCACCGGGATTTGTTCTCTGACAACACGGCCAAGCCAGGCCCTCTATGCCTCCCCATTTTCATTTTTGCACGAAGTTCTCTGCCTTTTCTATTCCAGACCGACTCCTCGTCAGCAGTCCATGCCTGACAGACACTCCGGGCTGTCTTCGAGAAGCGTCTGAAGTGCCCGGCCACAATGGCTGACCCGGTGCTGTCTGGAGGGACGGACGTCATCCGGACTTAAGGCTGCCAGGTCCCCCCTGGCCACCAGCAGGGGATGGAGGCGGGGGCTATGGCTGCCAGTTCCAGGTTGGGAAACGACTAAAGATTTGAGGGTGTCGCCTGGAGAGCGCAGGGACCCCCGTGGGGTACAATGCCACAGAGCCCACCCTCCAAAGCACCCATTTTCTCCAGGGGAGCTGATCTCTGGAGTCTGGAGACGAGCTGTAATTCCAGGGGATCCCCAGGTCCCACCTGGAGGCTGGCATCCATATCTGGACTTCTACTTCACTGCCACAATGAGTTTACGAAGCAAGCCCGCCAAAACGGCTCCTCGGGGCGGAGATCAGCTCTTTGGGGGTGCACCTTCTCCGTGTGCTCAGCAGAGGCACCAACAAATTTGCTTCCAGCTTAGCTTTGGAAGACTCAGAGTGACAACTCCATGCAGGCTTGAGTCCCCTGGGTTTGTCTGAGCCACTACTAAAATGTGAGTTCAACCCTTCTCCCGGGGCACCGTTCCAAGGCCGGGGGGGGGCCCCTCTTCACTCCAGCCTCTTCATGCACTGTGGGGGCAAAAGGTACTTTTTCTGAACAAGCCTAGATTTTGCCACACGTTTATCGGTGCCTTTGAAATACGACGGACGTGCCAGGTGTCGCCAATGAGCAATTTTGGGACGGCCAACAGAATGCTGCGGATGCTCTGATGGTGGCTCGTGTCCAGGGGTCATTTCCTGCGAAAGTGCACGGGAGCGGAGCTCCGGCAGTAAAGAGCCCAGGGGGCGGGCACATGCGACAGGCCCCACCCCCTGCTCCCAGCAGCCCTCAGTCAGAGCAAGAAGCAGCCAGGTAAGTTGCAGAGCTCCCCCCGGCCCAAAACAGTCCAGTGGCACCTTTAAGACCAAGTTTTATTCAGGTACAAGCTCTCCCTCCTCTGTGAGGACAGATCTGCACATTCCCTCCCCCAATAGCTAGCAATCAAAAACAGTGCAGTGGAGGTGGGGCCTGAGCGGTGGGTGTTGCCTTCTGACACACTTCTGGTGATGTCAGGGGACGTGGCATATGCAAATAAGTTATGCTAATGAGTTATGCTAATGAGCTCCTGCACCTCTTTTTCTACGAAATGAACCCGGCTCATGTCGCCTCTTTCTTCCTGCTGCTCCTGAAGTCTCCTTCACTTGGGGGACACATCAGACCCCCCCCTCCTTACACAATGCCGAGGCTGAGCAGCAGGCCTATGAGCGAGGCGGCAGGTACCTGGACAAGATGGTACAGAGAGACGTCGGAAGACAAGGTGCCCCCGTGGGAGGTCAGCGGAGAGAAGAGGGCGGCCTTGAGCTTGGGGTACGGAGCAAGGGCCATCCTGACCAGCTGGGTGTCCACCTTCCTGGGGGGGCTCTCTCCTCCACTCCCGTTCTGAAGAACCTGCAAAGAATAACGGGAGAAAGGCAGCCACGGTAGCCTCTTTCAGCAAGAATGAAACGTGAGTCTCGGTGTGGCTGTAAGGCTGGGGGGGTTTCTTCCCTACAAAACAGCTGCTGCTGCTACTCACAAGGAAATGGAGGAGATGAGGAGAGGAGATTGGATTTATACCTTGCCCTACACTTGGAATCTCAGAGCGGCTTACAGACTCCTTTCCCTTCCCCTCCCCACAACAGACACCCTGTGAGGTAGACGGGGCTGAGAGAGCTCTGACAGAAACTGCCCTTTTTCAAGGACAACTCTTATCAGAACTACGGCTTGCCTAAGGTCATCCAGCAGGTACAAGTGGAGGAGTGGGGAATCAAACCCGGTTCTCCCAGATCAGAGTCTGCGCATGGATCGTTTCACTGACTAGCTGCAGAGGGTCCTTCGTATCTGACTGAAGGCTTTATCTGCACTGGAGAGGCCAAGAACAGCTTCAAGGCAAGTTGAGGTTGCTGAGTGGATGTGAACCCCCCCCCCCGACTTTTCCTGCTAGCCTAAAGGAACAGCGCACCACTGACCCACCTGGTCGATACCTCCCGGAGCATACATTGTGGCCGCAAGGGCCAGAAGCGTCCGTCCTTCCAGAAGCATGGTGCTCACGCTGGCCTGGTCACTGGGAATCAAGATCTGGGCATTTGCCAGACTAGCCTGAAAAATCACCTCTGCATCTAGTGAGAGTTGGGGGGGGGGGGAGAGAAAGAACAATGAAAACCTTTTCTTCCAAGCTGAGTTGTTATTTGAAATGTTCACACATTGCCTTTCTGCCCAGAAACTGGTCTCCACGGTGGCCAAAAACAAGAGAAAGTTAAAGTACAAACAATAACCATTTTCTCATATTTTTAGCTACCTCTGGATCCCAAATGTCAGGAAGAAAGCCGCATACAGGACAGAAAGTGCACTGCCTGCCCTCGTGGATGACCTCCGGTTTTGGCCGGACAACAGACATTTCTTTTTCTACATAAGAGATGCAGAAGCGGCAGTTTGGGACCAAACATGTGGGATTCCTTCAAGAATCTCTCCACACTACTTTCCAGAATTTAGGAGCGACCACCAAATCCCACCGCTCTGTAACTCTCCCAGCAAAGTTCATAAGTCAGGCCCCGCTTCGGTGGGAAGGGCGGGATACAAATTGAACAGAATAAATAAATAAGTCAAGGTGCTTCAGTGACAACGACAGGCAAGAATCTGAACTCAAACGGGTCCAGATAATCCACCTGCTCTCCAAGACCACCTAAAACTATGCAGCCACCACCCACTCTCCCAAATCTTGGCTGAGAAGGGGATGTGTCCCGAGATTTAACCAAGCCCGCTACGGTATCTAACGGATGCAAGTAGTTTTATCCACAAAATCGACTGCAAAGAGTCCACAGAGAACCTACATGTTTTCCACATCAACCAAACCTGTTCTGCCTTCCCCAAACCTTCCCAGCCAACTCTACATGCTTGAAAACATGGATACGAGGCCAATGTTCCCTCCAAGCTGAGTTAGTGTGAGCTAGCTCACAGTTTTTTAGCTTCTGGCTCATACATTTTTGTCTTCGCTCAGGAAGGAGGGCTCCAGAGCAAACTAATTGATGCAGCCGCCAAATCGCTCGCTCACAACTTTAAGGCCAGAAGCTCACAAAGTAGAATTCATGCTTACAAGGCTCCGCAGCTTAGAGGGAGCACTGGATATGACTTATTGCTCTGGACCAGGGATCTTCAACCTTTTGGAGCCTGCAGGCACCCTTAGAATTCTGACACAGCACGGTGGGCGCAGCCACAAAACGGCTGCCACAAAACGGCTGTGGCAGGAGGTAGGGCCGGCAATGAAATGGCTGCTGCAGCTAGCATCAGTTACACAGCAAAGAAAGCACAGCCAATCAAATCTCCAACAGCCTGCCCCGAGTCCTGCTGAGTAAAAGCCGCATCCGGCCCACAGGCACCTCCTTGGGGGTTGCTGCTTTAGACCCCCCCCCTAAAAAACCCCCCACAAAATAGCAGCAGCATAACTCCAGTATCAACACGACAACCTGCCAGATACAAAAGTCCACACTGGAGAGAGAAGTTAGGGGTGATAACTGTCAAACATCGCTCTGCTCAGTTTGCCATGACTGCTGGGGAGAGGGAATTCCTTAGGTGATAACTGAGCCCGTTCGTGGGGAGGGCGGGGTAAAAATGCAATAAATAAATAAATAAAATAAATAGGTGGGGGGAGCGAGTGCGGAGTGTGTGACTGCGCTATCTTCGAGGCCGTAACGCTTCCGAAGAAGTCTTCCTCTCTCCCAGAGGATCGTCCTTGAAACTTTTGGTGCCAACCCGCTTGTGTAGATAATGGGATTGTATATTTCCCAGGTGAAGGGGGGGGTAGGACCGCTATGGCTAGGTGGGATGGATGGATGTGACGTGTGAGTGGCCATTAGGAGGGGTTTCATTTGAATCACCTATATCTATGATTGTGCCTGCCAAAATCTTCAGTTCTGACATGGACATGGTACAGTTACGACCTGGATCTTGCTTATAACTCAATAAACATATCACTGGCAAAGAGTGTGTTGTTGAGGATAACTTGACCAGGAGTCTGACAATAACACTCTCTGTGCTATCACAGCTATAGTTTCTGGACATGTTTCGAAGCCAGCCCCACGGTGCACTGCAGGACTCTCATCTGGAGATCGTGAGGGAGGGCCAGGAGTCTGGACCCTGCCTATCAGAGCAGGACACAGCCGGAGTATCAGCCAAAGCTGGCAAAAGACCCTCTTGGGCACAAACCACCTGGACAGGGAGAAAAACGGCAGAGCCCAGGAGCCACCCCCAAGGTGTGAACCTGATCCTTGCGGGGCTGGGAAGTGTGCAACCTCGTCTCGAACCATCACTGACTCGGTTATAGGTCCAGCTCCGGCCCCCAAACCTGGAAGAGGTGCACAAGCTGTGAGAGGCCTACCTCCGGGGTTGCTGGCAATGTCTCGACACCGCACAAGGAATTCAAACCAAGGGTGAGCTTCGTGAAGCGCCCGGTCGCCCAAAATGGGGCAGTTTGAAGGACATAAGCTGGAAAGAAATCAAAGGCAGAACGTCTCAGCTTCACGCAACAGTATGCTTCCCCCCTCAATAAAAAGATGGGCCAGAGTTAGGTCCAGGAATCCGCTGCTGGGTAAGGAAAGACTCTTCCCTGGAGTGCAGGAGACGGAGTCTTGGAGTGTTGGGGGGGGGCACAGTGACAAGTTCCACCTGTCTCTATGATGCCAGCACTCTCAACTTTTCCTCCCTTTGTGCTGGCCATTAGACCAGGCTTCAGCCGCAGACCCCAGACAAAAGTCTTCTCTGAAGGCAGGACAGAGGCTGGGGGCAATGGGGGGTGGGAGCTCTGCTGCCTTTAAGGGGGACACCAAGAAGAAAGGCTGGAGGAAGAAGCCGTGCTTAGTCTGGAGAAAACAAATACAAAGGGCAGGAATGTGGTGACGGTTTTCTAAAATATCCACCCAAACTCCGACGATCTCTCCTAGATTTGAGGGTCCAGCTATGCCAGTTGCAGAACTGGAATCCAGCAAACTACATGTGCATTAAGAGGGTATTCTTCACATACTGCGCGTCACTGTTGCTACTTTCATCAACTACTTTCCTTCTGTTCTTTGCTGTCAAGTTGCAGCTAACTCACAGTCACCCTGTAGGGTTTTCAAGGCAGGAGATATTCAGAGGGGGGTTTGCCCTGGCCTGCCTCTGCCTCTCCCATCCCAGGACTCACCGGCTTCTGACGAGATCAATACTTGTGCAGAAATTAATTTTTGATACAGATTCCTACCGATAATAGTCTAAATAGGTGTAGAGTAGATGGTTCAGCCCGTGGTCTAAACAGTAAAGGACGAAGCAGGCGTGGAAATCTAAGCCCCCCGGGGACGAGAACCCAGAGACGGGCTGCGGACGCTGCATCACTCCTCCAGCGTGAGCCAGTCTTTGAAGAAGGCGCTGGAAATCTTCCAGTTCTGCCGGTGCAAAAACCCCGTTTCTAACAAGAGAAAGACAGCCACAGTTGTAGGCAGAGTACGCAGCTCTGTGTGTGTCTTTCAGTGGTGTTAGACACTACAATGGAAAAGCCAGGAAGCGGTTGGATCATGGACCGAGAGAAGGCACATACCTCGCCAGGCTGTCCAGTATTTCGTTTCTCATGTAACTGCTGCACAGGGTACCTCTGTCAAGGGCCTCTGTGGGCAGCGCTGGCCACTTCATGCTGCTACCCGCCGGGGACTGACAGTCTGCAATCCACGAACGAATGCTGCCCCAGTCGTGCCAGGAGGACAAATGCATCCAAAGAACCTCCGGATGACATGACTTAAATCCTGCGTTTAAAGAAGGTATCAGAACAGGTCATCACGGCATATGGACCGTCGCAGCTGTGCATATCTATGGGGTCGGGATGTTATCAATGGGGAATAGAAGCTACCAGGGTGGAATAAGGATGAATAATACAAGGGCCACAAGGGGTACCACCCACCCTATGCAGAACTCAATTCAGAATTCAGTTTCACGTTCAGAGGCACTCAGCCTCTGAATCTCAGAGTCAGGAGGCTCCATTTCAAGGGGCTGGTGCTCACCTTTAGAGCCCTACATGGCCGGGGGCCAGCATACCATTGAGACCCCGCCTCTCCCCATAAGAGCCCCGGAGGAAACTGAGGTCCACCAATCAACACCTCTTGGTGGTTCCCCGGCCCCAGGGACGTCCGATTAGCCTCGACCAGGACCGGGGCCTTTTCGGCCCTGGCCCCCACCTGGCAGAATGAGCTCCCCTATGAGATCAGGGCCCTGCGGAGACCTACTGCAGTTCCGCAGGTCCCGCAAGACTGGGTTGAGCTGCCAGCCCCCCCCCCCCCCCCAGCTTTTTGGCCAATCACCCACCAGTGGCCTGGATCTGATTAGACATCCGATTAGACACCGGAGTTGATCTAACATCTGATCTCTCCCGCTTTTACATGGTATGTTACAATACTATTCGGTGCAAACGGTTATTTTAATGTTGTTTTAATTGTAGTGTTTTAATTGTTGTACACCGCCCTGATCCTGTCTGGGGAGGGTGGTATATAAATCAAATAAATAAACAAACATCAGGGGAAGGCCTCGACCTCTCTGCCCTGTTGCTGGCCCTCCAGAGGAACCGGTTGGCCCCTGTGTGAGACAGGATGCTGGACTAGGTGGACTCTCCACTGGCCTGATCCAGCAGGGCTCCTTCTGATGTTCGTCTCAGGGGAAGGCCTCGGCCTCTCTACCCTGTTGCTGGCCCTCCAGAGGAACTAGTTGGCCACTGTGTGAGACAGGATGCTGGACTAGAAGGACCCTCACTGGTCTGATCCAGCAAGGCTCTTCTGATGTTCTCAGGGGAAGGCCTCGGCCTCTCTGCCCTGTTGCTGGCCCTCCAGAGGAACTGGTTGGTCTCTGTGTGAGATGGGATGCTGGACTAGATGGACCCTCCCTGGTCTGACCCAGAAGGGCTCTTCTGATGTTTTTATCAGGTGAAGGTCTCAGTCTCTCTGCCCTGTTGTTGGCCATCCAGAAGAAATGGTTGGCCACTGTGTGAGACAGGATGCTGGACTAGAAGGACCCTCACTGGTCTGATCCAGCAAGGCTCTTCTGATGTTCTCAGGGGAAGGCCTCGGCCGCTCTGCCCTGTTGCTGGCCCTCCAGAGGAACTAGTTGGCCCCTGTGTGAGACGGGATGCTGGACTAGAAGGACCCTCACTGGTTTGATCCACAGCAAGGCTCTTCTGATGTTCTCAGGGGAAGGCCTCGGCCTCTCTGCCCTATTGTGGGCCCTCCAGAGGAACTGGTTGGCCTCTGTGTGAGATGGGATGCTGGACTAGATGGACCCTCCCTGGTCTGACCCAGAAGGGCTCTTCTGATGTTCTTATCAGGGGAAGGTCTCAGTCTCTCTGCCCTGTTGTTGGCCGTCCAGAAGAAATGGTTGGCCACTGTGTGAGACGGGATGCTGGACTAGGTGGACTCTCCACTGGCCTGATCCAGCAGGGCTCTTTCTGATGTTCGTCTCAGGGGAAGGCCTCGGACTCTCTGCCCTGTTGCTGGCCCTCCAGAGGAACTAGTTGGCCACTGTGTGAGACAGGAGGCTGGACTAGGTGGACCCTCCACTGGCCTGATCCAGCAAGGCTCTTCTGATGTTCTTCTCAGAGGAAGGCCTCGGCCTCTGTGCCCAGTTATTGGACCTCTAGAGGAACCGGCTGGCCACTGTGTGAGATAGGAGGCTGGACTAGATGGACCTTCCCTGGTCTGATCCAGCAGGGCCCTTCCGAGGTTCTTATCAGGGGAAGGCCTTGGCCTCTGTGCCCTGTTGTTGGCCCACCAGAGAGACTGGCTGGCAACTTTGTGAGACAGGATGCTGGATTAGATGGACTATGGATCTGATCCAGCAGAGCTCTTCTAACGTCCTTATGTTCCAATAAGATCAAATCTAATTGCCATTTCTTTTAAAAATACATGCAAAGATCAAAGGGCTGCCCTTCCAGTATGAAACTCCTCGTCTCTCCATCCCCCCAAGCCTCACAGTGCCCAAAGCACAGCCCTGAAGAACCACAAAACCACTCGGGACGTGGTGCATTGATGCCAGCACAACAAAATGCTCACCTTCAGGGGATCGTGTGGGGAGAAGAACGATCTCTCGGGTGGTTTGATCCCATGACTGAGCCCAGTTTAACATGACTCTGTGCTCTTCGTTATGAACTCGGTCCTTTCCACAATTCATCAGGGCATCCCAAGCAGCCGTGTGGTCAGACGGATCCTTTTCCTTCACCCATTGCCTGAAAGGGAGAATAAAACATTCTCCATGATGATGGTGGGTTTTTTTGGGGGGGGGGGGGGGCTTACCCGTCATGTTCACACTTAACGCTTTGCTTCAGTACCCGTTTTTAGACTTCTGGCGGATTCTACAGCCCTAACCCTACTGCCCTGTTTATTGAATGTCCCGTCCTGTCGACTGTACAGATTGCGCTCTGTATCATCCGCCTGGAGTCCAAGTGAGAAAGGAGGACGATCAATATATAAATAAATAAAGACCTCCCCCTTGTACTTCACTTCGAAGAGAGTGCAACGTCAAGATCTTTTGCATAACACATGCAAACGATACACGTCAACTCACAGCAGTCAACGGGACAGTCATTCGGGATGCGAGAGCCAACTGCTGCGGCAAATTCCCAGCTGCTTCTAGACAGGATTCCACTCCAAAGATAAATCTCTGGCAAGTTAGAAACATGACTCAAAGTAATCTCTGTTTCTCTAGTAACTGCTCAAATGTTTAGAGAGCCAGTTTGGTGTCGTGGTTAAGTGCGCGGACTCTAATCTGGGAGAACCGGGTTTGATTCCCCACTCCTCCACATGCAGCTGCTGGTGTGACCTTGGGCAAGCCATAGTTCTGTCAGAGCTGTTCTCTCAAGGACAGTTCTGGAAAGAGCTCCCTCAGCCCCGCCTATCTCACAGCGGGTGTCTGTTGTGGGGAGGGGAAGGGAGAGGAGTTTGTAAGCTGCTCGGAGGCTCCGAGTGAAGGGCGGGGTATAAACCCAATCTCTTCTTCTTCTTGTACCAATGCACAGCACCCACCATAAGTGGGAGAGAGTCCCCCTTCTCCTGACCACACTTCCAGCCCGGCTCTGACTCGCCTGAGATTTGAGCTAATCAACAGTGTCAGATGCCATCGATAAAACATTTTCAGTCTTCCCTCCTCCCTGTATCAAGCAATACTTTTGCCACCTCCTGGAACACACTGGCCCACTTTTCTACCGGGATACGTCTGCCCTGAGTCAGCTTCCCTCCTGTTTTTGCTGCCCCTGCCTTATCTTATAATCCTCTTGAAGGCCCAGCTCTATCTGAGCTAGCAGGCCCTTCGACGGCCCTTGGCCAACCAAGGTCTTTCCAATTCCATTCAATGATCTGAACACCTTAGTCCCTCTGAATTCCACTCCTCAGCTGAAAATACTGAAAGGAAAGGATTTCTACTGGAGCAGCTGTTCTTGTCAGCTCATCAAAGGACATAAAACTGCCCTTTTCTTGGAGCTCGATACACCTCCAGGGACCTGCTTGCATTCTCTGGTCAAAGGTCCCAGCTCTTAAAGTCTCCTGCCGTCCCTTGGCAGACATCTCAGCCTCCAGGGGAGAGTCTTTCCGCACCAAACCATCAAAATCTCCATTCCCGATACCTATTAACACTTCCCATGACATTTATACAGTCTTTCCAAGTGAATCAAGATCAAATCCACAGGCCCGTTTCTCACGCAATCTTTTCAAAGTTCAAAGCACACCTGGCAATATATGGCGTATCACCCAAAGGTGATTAACGGAAGTGTGCAGTCTGTAGCAGGAACAGGGGTGGCAGGGTGAAAACTACCAAGCACGAGCTGGTAAGGAGGGATGCAGGCTCAGCACAGCCACTGAACGACAGCTCCCGGCTGAATGGGCTAAGGGCTGGCCTTGGCCTCACTAGCACAGGTTGGGATTTAAACCCTTGGCTCAGGGGTCCCCAACATGATGGCCAAGGCGCACCTGTGTTCAGAAAGTGGGCTGGGCTAGAAGAAGAGAAGAAGAGACTGGATTCATATCCCCATCCTTCACTCGGGAGTCTCAGAGCGGCTTACAATTTCCTCCCCTTCCTTTCCCCACAACAGACACCCTGTGAGGTAGGAGGGGCAGAGAGAGCTCTGACAGAAACTGCTCTTTTTCAAGGACAGCTCTTGTCAGAACTATGGCTTGCCCAAGGTCATCCAGCAGCTGCAAGTGGAGGAGTGGGGAATCAAACCCGGTTCTCCCAGATTAGAGTCCGCGCACTTAACCACCCCGCCAAACTGGCTCACCAAACAAGAAGAAGAAGAGGAAGAAAATGAAGTGGAGGAAGAGGAGGTTGGATTTATACCCCGCCCTTCACTTGGAGTCTCAGAGCAGCTTACAACCTCCTTTCCCTTCCCCTCCCCACAACAGACACCCTGGGAGGTAGGTGGGGCTGAGAGAGCTCTGACAGAAATTGCTCTTTTCCAAGGACAGCTCTTGTCAGAACTACGGCTTGCCCAAGGTCATCCAGCAGCTGCAAGTAGAGGCATGGGGAATCAAACCCGGTTCTCCCAGATTAGAGTCCGTGCACTTAACCACCACGCCAAACTGGCTAGGTGAGGTTTCTGCCCAGCAGGGCTTCCAATTGGCTGTGCAGATTAAAAGACATCCTGTTAAAAAAGATCTTCTGCCTTAAATGTTGAAGGGGGACTATGAGGGTCACCCCACTCCCGGACATTTCGTGGCTGGCTCTGCCTCCTGCGGCAGCCATGTTTTTGCTGCATCCGCCACCCTGAGTGAGGCTTCGAAAGATGCCCACAGGCTCAAAAAGACCGGAGACCCCTGCCATGGCCCGTTGTGCTTAGCACATCCCTGATCCTTGTTTTTCCCAGAAAAATGTGGCTGAAGTTTTACTACCTGGACTGAGTGTTCTTCGCATTCTCCCGAGAAACCCCTGAGTAGGCATCCTCCACCTGGTACACAAAGTTGATGGTTTCCTTTTCGGCCTCAGAAAAGTAATTTTCCTCCTGCAGCACTTTCACCTGGAGAGTCAAACATCGATTAGCCTTTCGAGCTGAACTCCACGGCCACTGGAAAGAGAGACTGGTTGTCCAGCCACAAATACGACCAGGAATAAGAGCAAAGGGAGACACACTACGAATGCAGCTGCAGATCGTGATGACGTTGCAAAGACCTCCTCTTAGAGATTTCTGCTACTGATGCCAAAGGAAAGGGAACACTCAGTCAAAGTTGGGATTCGGGTGGAGCAATGATTAAAACACAGAGGGAGGACAGCTTACATAAAAATGCATGTATAAATACAGTTAAAATCATACATAAAACCACCATAAACAGTCAAGTTATCCATTTTCCTAGAGTGCCAGAACAATACTCAAATAAAGTGCCAGAGCAGGGATTCCTAGATTAAACCATACCACTACTTGGGTGACAGTCCTGATGGTATTCTCATATCACCACAGTTTGGTCAACTAATTTGTGGGGCCAGACAGGCTGAAGGTGGTAAAGCCAGGGCACAGGGTCACTCCTCGGTATTTTAAGGCAGCTCCTAATCGAAAGCCTGGTGGAAGAGCTCCGTCTTACAGGCCCTGCGGAACTGTAAAAGGTCCCGTAGGGCCCTGGTGTTCTCCAGGAGCTCATTCCACCAGTACGGAGCCACCACCGAGAAGGCCCTGGCCATCGCCAGCCTGACATCTTTGTGACCTGGGAGGGCCAGCCGGTTTTGGGCCACTGAACGCAGTGCTCTCTGGGGAACATATGGGAAAGGCGGTCTCTCAGGTATGCCGGACCCTGACCATAAAGGGCTTTAAAGGTCAAAACCAGCACCTTGAAGTTAATCCGGTATGCTATTGGCAGCCAGTGCAATGCTTTCAGCACAGGCCAGATGTGCTCACGCATAGAGACCCATCAACAGCCTGGCCGCAGCATTTTGCACCAGCTGCAGCTTCCAGATTTGGGACAAGGACAGCTCCACATAGAGCGCATTACAGTAGTCTAATCTTGAGGTGACTACTGCGTGGGTCACTGTTGCCAAGTCATTGCGTTCGAGGAAGGGAACCAACTGCCTGATCAGCCGGAGATGGTAAAAGTCTGACTTGACCGTGGCTGCTACATGGGCCTCCATCATTAGAGAGGCGTCCAGGAGCACTCCCAAGCGCCCCGTCGAAGGTCGGAAGTGGGATCCCTACCCTCGGGCCACCCTGGCTCAGGCACAGGACCTCCGTCTTTGTCGCATTCAGTTTCAGTCGGCTCAGTCTGAGCCAACCAGCCACGGCTTGTAGCACCTGGTCCAGAACTTCCAGTGTAGAGTCAGACTAGCCACCCAACAGCAGATGGAGCTGGTTGTCGGCCGCCTACTGGCGACCTCCCCCCCCCCCAGCCCATGCCTCTGGGCAACCTGGGCAAGTTGTTGTTGTTTATTACGGTCTTTAGACCAGCATACTGTTTAGTCAGACATAAAACACAGTAATTTAAAAATTCGCATTTAAGAACTTTTAAGGTGCGATTCCCCTAATTTGAAAATTAATGCACAAAATGTAGCAACTTGACATGCCATCTTAGAAATATGGTCAGATAAAAACTAGTGAAGCCTTGCTTTATTTGTGTTTATAGGGCCAGGGGTCCTACCAAGTAATGGAGCGACAATTCCAAGATGCACCTCCCTATAGAGTGGGCAGCTGAAAGACAGGTGCTCTATAGACTCAACCTCCCCTAGGGAGCAAGGGCATAACCTTTCTGGATAGGGACTCAGGTGGAGCAATGATTAAAACGTGAAGGGAGGGTGCAATTAGAACATATAAAAAGCCACAGAAAACAAGCTTTTCTTCACTCACCAAGAAGTCACGGACGGGCTGTTCATTGGTGTAGAAACATATTCTACGCAGCTGCTTCATCACGTCGAATCCCTACCCAAAAAGAGCCAGTGTGCGGGTCAGGAGGTCACTCTAGGATCTGGGAGCCCCAAGTTCAAATCCCCACTCTGCCATGGAAGTGTGGTGGTGACCTTGGACCAGTTGCATGCACTCAGCCTAACCTACTTCACAGGGCCGTTGTAAAGATAAACTGGAGGAGGGAAGACTATGTACACTGTCCTGACCTCTTTAGAGAAAGAGGAGGATAAAAATGAAAATAAGTAGCAGTTCTAATATACAGGACTTTGCAGAAAGGAAGGTTCGTGACAACTTCCCTCATAAGCATCAAAATCGGTGCACACTGTCACAGGAACCTAGGCCCGGATAACATTTTACAGTACACTGAATTATTCAGTGCTTGGAGGGGGTCAACAGTGGAAGGGCTCCTAGTGTCCTGGCCCCACTGCTGGACCTCCTGAGGGCACCTGGTATTTCTGGCCACTGTGTCACACAGAGTGTTGGACTGGATGGGCCATTGGCCTGATCCAACATTGGCTTCACTGATGTTCTTATAGGAACTCTCGGTATGGGGCAAGGGATGCTCTGTATTCTTGGTGCCTGGGGGGGGCACAGTGGGAGGGCTTCTAGTGTCCTGGCCCCACTGCTGGACCTCCTGATGACACCTGGTATTTTTGGCTACTGTGTGACACAGAGTGGTGGACTGGATGGGCCACTGGCCTGATCCAGCATTGGCTTCTCTGATGTTCTTATAGGAACTCTCGGTCTGGGGCAAAGGATGCTCTGTATTCTCGGTTCTTTGGGGGGGGGGCAACAGTGGGAGGGCTTCTAGTGTCCTGGCCCCACTGGTGGACCTCCTGATGACACCTGGTATTTTTGGCTACCGTGTGACACAGAGTTTTGGACTGGATGGACCACTGGCCTGATCCAACATGGGCTTCTATTTTGTTCTTATGTTCAAAGACGTTTTACAACACTGGGCTTAACTTTTGCTAGGCCAAGCCCTAAAAGGATTACCCCTACATGACAAGCTTCTTTTTCCATTAAGCAAAACATGGAGGGAACTGATAAAATGAAGTTATCAGTTTATCTATCCTGTTGGTTTTCTGATGTAAGCATTCCCAATGGCCATATTGATCCAGCATCTGAAGACACAAAACTGCACCTCATTGGGTGCATATCTGCAGAGAGACCCAAAGCGGTGGTTTTTGACTTGACTGGTGTGGGGGGGGGGAGGGCAGCTCACCATGTTTGTCAAGAGCTTGGAGGCTTCTTTGGCATTGCCCTTCCGAAGGCTTCTGTACACCAGGTCCAGCCCTATTTGCGTCAGCCTCTCTAGCTTCTGAGCAGGATTCCCGGTCATCCGGAAAAAGGTCTGTGCTTCCGGCAGCTTCTTGTTCAAAATAGCATCGGCGACAATTTCCTGAAAGGGTAAAAAAAATCCACAAAGTATGTTTGCAGTACAGTAACTGCTTTTGGAGATTCCTTTCAAAAAATCAAGCGCTCCTTCTTGGGAGAGGCCGGAAAGTTGCACTAGTTAAAACAATCCCGTACTGAGAGAGCAAAACGTACTGTTCACCTCCCTTCTGCGCCCCGATCCACGGAGTTTCCAGCTGCTTAACATGAACAGGACCGTGATCTAAACGTGGCCCTAGTTTGTTAGTTTTGTACGTGCAATGGATCGATTCAGAAAGCCTTCGGAGAGGCCAGCTCCGTCTACCTCTGTACTGCACGGCTCCCACGTCTGGCGTTGCTGCATTCCGGGCACGTCTTCCTCGAGATCCCAGGCTGTGCTTGGGATGCTGGGATGCTTATGTGGGAACTTTATCATGAATGTCCGAAGTTTAGTGATGTAGCTGGTTAAAATGTTCACACATCCATCCAGGTTTTCGTCCAGTTCTGTGAAGGGGATCGGGAAGACACTTAATCAGACAACCATCAAATCAACGTCAAAGCATCAGATCAACAACAAGTCAGTTGTTTTCCCTCGTGCTGATTCTCACATGGGCAGAGGTTGCCACGCACACACTCTCTCATGCGGACGGGGCAAAGTCACCACTAACAACAAGTCTATGTCATGATCTGGCCTGTGCCAGTACGGCCTAGCCAGCCTAAGAGGCCTGGGTGGCAGTAGGAGGCAGCTAGGCCTACAACTCCCAGAAGGCATTGGGAGAGTCAGAGTGGATTCTAAAAAGACTGTTGAAGTCTGTTGGGAATAAAGTCTGGGAGAAGACAGTTTAAGGCACTTGCTGGCTGCTAGTTGATGGTAGCTGGAGTCTCTGAGCGAGAAGGGGAGAAGCCCTCAGTCCTTGGCCGGGCTGGGAGGAGGAGCCTGAGTGAGTTAGGCAGGCTGGGGCCTGGTAGTCGACCCACAGTGAGGCATCTGAGTTAAGTTTATTTTCTTTTGGTTTTCCTTCTCCCTGTTACCCAGTTGCAGCACCTTGCCCCAATCATTCCCACAATAAAACCTGTTCCGCTTAATGTATTTTGGGTGTTTGCCTGGGTCATTCACGTCTTGGGAGATACCCTGGGACTCCCGAGGGACCCGAAAGTCCAGGGTGGTGGCGGCGAAACCCAAAGACCCCTCTGGGGTCATGACAATCTAGGTTAACCCATTCAGTGGCACCCGCCCTCTGCTGGTCCACCCAGTGTTGGAAGGGAATTGGTGTAGGGATACAGGGCCAAAGTTGTGCTGAGGAGTAAAGGTAAAGGTTTCCCTGGTTCGAAAGCCAGTCGAATCCGACTCTAGGGATATGGTGCTCATCTCCAGTTCCAAACCGAAGAGCCAGCGCTGTCCGAAGACGCTTCTGTGGTCATGTGGCCAGCGTGACTAGACGCCAAGGTGCACAGAACGCTGTTACCTTCCCACCAAAGTGGTGCCTATTTATCTACTTGCAGTTTCTTGCTTTCGAACTGCTAGGTTGGCAGGAGCCGGGGCCAGAGATGGGAGCTCATTCCGTCATTCAGCACTCGGGTCTCGAACTGCTGAACTACCGACGTTCCAGCCTGCAGTTCAGCGTCTTAACCACTTGAACCACCGCAGCTCCCATGCTGAGGAGACCGAGATTCAAGATTACTGTGCAGATCAAACAGGCCAATAGAGGTCTGTCTCTCAGACCCCGTTGGTGGAAAAGAACAGACAAGGAGACCGCGGAACTTCTAACATCATTCCCAAGCGCAGGAGCCACAGGGCAGCAGCCGGCCCTCCGAGGATGGGGGAGTTAGTGCAGTTGAAATGCCGGGGCACGGAGTGAGCGGGATGGTGAACGGCAGGTGCTCAGGCCCACCTTCCATGTGGACAAAAACCTCACAGAGCTGTTTGTTAAGGAAATTCAAAGTGAGGCTCAGGAGCTGCTCGGAGAAGTGTTTGCTCTGAGCTTCCAGGTCGTTTTCCTGGATTGCCAAACACAGCAAGTCCAAGGCCGGCCGCAGTTCTTCAACGCCTGCAAGAGGAAACGTAAAACACACAGAAAGGTCACGAGGTCATCCTGTAGGGCTAAAATATATCATCGTCACAGGAATGCAGTCTGCTTCTGCTTTCACTCGGGTATCCAATCGTATGCCATTTGCCCGGTTTGGTATTTTGAAAAGATGGGGCACGATGCTACCCCGAGGGACCTCTCTCAAGCTGGCTCTATTCACAGGGTCTTCTCGGCCCATGTGCTGCTCCCGCTCCCCTTGATGTAGCCGGGTCAGCGCTAATTCCAAGCAGATGAGGAGCCCTGTTGCTCTCGGGCTCCCTCTACTTGCAAAACTTGGCCCCAAAAAGAGGAAGAAGAGGAGGAGGAGGAGATTGGACTTATACCCCATGGCCCTTCACTCAAAGTCTCCGAGCGGCTTACAAACTCCTTTCCCTTTCGCTCCCCACAACAGACACCCTGTGAGGTAGGTGAGGCTGAGAGAGCTCTTTTGAGGACTGCTCTTGAGAGAACAGCTTGGACAGAACTACGGTGTGACGGATTCCAAAAAGGGAACACCTAGAGAAGGGCGATGTGCAGACATAGGGCGGTGTAGAGAAATGGAATGTTCGGGAGGTTGATGGATAGGAAATGGACAGAAGGAGGAGATGGGGACGGAGAGGGAGGGAGGTGGGAACTGACACATTTTGGGAAGAATCCCAGAGGGCGGTTTAATTGTTGGAACATATGGAACGTGTATCTGATTAAGGTTGTGCTGGAGGAAAATGTGAGATGTCACAGTAAAGCCGTTTTATTACGTTAAACAACGGAGTCCGGTCACTAATTTCCACCGGTTTTAAGAGCCTTGGAGTGAACCAGGAGACTTTTATAATGAAGAACAGAGCCAGTGGGTAAGTGGTCCCCGCTACTACCCGAAGCTAGCAGTGTCCCTCGTAAGAGAAACCCAGAGTGGTGTCCAAAAAAATGGTGGCCTGTAAGAGCCCGTAACATACGGCTTGCCCAAGGTCATCCAGTAGCTGTAAGTGGAGGAGTGGGGAAAACCCAGTTCTCCCAGATGAGAGTCCACACACTTAACCTCTACACCAGACCAAGAGCAATGCCTGTTCATACCTTCAAGTAGTTTTACTTACTCTTCAAGTAAAAATCTGACGTGGTACTTGACGTTTGGTCTTGCGAGGAACAAGTTGAAGAGAGGCTGAAAAGATTCTCCTTGTTCTTCAAAAAGAAATCCACAGTGTCCAGCTGACGGTTCTCCAAGCCGGCCTAAACGAAAGGGAAGAAGCAGGGAACAAGAGTGCCGCTTGGCTGAGGCTGCATTCAGAGGTCACAACAGCCGTGGCTCAGAAGCCCCCCTTCAGGTTCCTGTGATAATTCCAGGTGGGTTTATCGGAAGTGCAATAAAGTAGGAGTCGAGGGGCATCTTGAAGACTAACAAAATGTCCGATCCCACAGCTATCAATCCAAAACACGTTTGAAGCAAAGTAATATTTATTGAAGCTATGATGAAGCTGGAACAAGTGCACTGTTTAGAATAACCACAACCGTCAGGGCAAGGATAATAAAGCAATTTCATAAAAGCAATAACCAATGGACATGGTTCCCGCTCCTGCGGTTATGCTGTCAGATTCGCGCCTAAAGCCTGGGAAAGAAACGGTTTTCTAAATGATAAATAATTATGCTCAACTCACACTCTAGTTCATTATAGACTAAGCGAAGCCGACTCTCCACCACCTGTGACCTTGCAGATTACGATAGTTCAAAGCAGCATTAGCGTACAGGAAAAGGAATGTATGATACCATGAGACCAGAAAGTGTTCTCTGCAGCCGAACGAAGGGGGGGAAAGGGAGACCAAGGGAAGGCATTTCAGATACACACAAATCTCCTTGGCAGCTCGCTGACACAAAATCTTGAAGACTAACAAAACCATGGAGATACATCCAGATGGGTAGCCGTGTTAAGTCTCTCTGTAGTGGTAGAAAAGAGCAAGAGTCCAAACCTTCGAAACTAACAAAGTTTGTGGCAGGGAAGGAGCTCTCATGAGGCATGGGCTCTGAAGACATGAGCAGGGACTCACAAAAGCTCCTCCCCTGCCACCAGTTCTGGTAGTCTTGAAGGTGCTCCTGGACTCTCTGGCTCTTTTCTCAAACCTATACCAGCATAAGCTTCCATGAGTCAGGGCTCACTTCCTCAGATTCAATAACTGTTTTGTTTTGTACATATATATTTTGTATGTCGGTTATTATTTGATGGAAGCCGCCCCGAGCCTGCTACGCAGGGAGGACGGGGTATAAATAAAATGAAGAAGAAGAAGAGATTGGATTTATACCCCGCCCTTCACTCGGGAGTCTCAGAGTGGCTTACAAACTCCTTTCCCTCCCCCTCCCCACAACAGACACCCTGGGAGGTAGGTTGGGCTGAGAGAGCTCTGACAGAAACTGCTCTTTTTCAAGGACAGCTCTTGTCAGAACTATGGCTTGTACAAGGTCATCCAGCTGCTGCAAGTGGAGGACTGGGGAATCAAACGCGGTTCTCCCAGATTAGAGTCCACGCACTTAACCACTACTGCACTCCTAACCACTACACCAAACTAAATAAATTCAGACTCATAAAAGTTCATGCCGGTTTACTGTAATACTTGAATGCAGGCTGCCCAAACTGGTTTCCTGATGGGAGCTAAACTGGGACTCTAAACCACAGTTTGCACCCGGCTGGTCAACTGTGGTTTATCACTATGTCTGACTGCAGAGCTGTGTTCGGTTTCACAGCCACTGTCAGCCTCCGGATAGAGATGCAGAGCAACCCAAACACCCACCACCGAATGCTGCTGAAGCTGGGTGTCAAACTCTGCTGTGCATTTTACAGCTCCTTTGCCATAGTAACCAGGGAGGGGGAGAGTGTGGAGCCAAAATGCTTTCGCTTTCCTAGGCTGCTTCGATGTACCAGACACCTTATCACCTCTGAGAACCTTCAGTGTCCTTGAGTCTCAGCTTTCCGTGCTGGCTTTTGTCTTACAGGTTGGGGGGATGGCACCAAGAGTGGGATGGCTGGCAGTTACATTTGGTGGGTGAAACCCAGGGGGTGATTGGTTCTGAACCTTTTTAGGGCCCTTGCTTAAACCCTGTATATATACTGCTTTCACGCCTTTAACCTTAGTTCTAACACAGCCAGTGTACAGGCTGGATCCTATCAATGTCTCAATAAACTCATCATTCTCCAGAAGTGAATGTTGTCAGGAACTGATGTATCCAGGAGTCTGACACTGGGGCTCCATCTCTCCAGGGAGCTAGAAGGGGGCCTGCCCAGTCCCACCAGTGAATATGGGGTCAGGGTATAGCAGCTCAACAATCACGCTGTTGTCTTTACCTCTAAGGCGTGTATGGGAATAGAACACCTTCCCCATCCGTTGAGACAGCAAAGAGAATCCACGGTGCCAGCGCTTCCATGGATTATCAGTCTATTTAAGAATTCTTCTTGAGTTAAGCCAAACAGAACCAAGGATAGGCCAGGCTCTAAAGGTTCAAATTAAAAAAATAAAGGAGAGATAGGTCATATGTATTAATGTAGAAGAAGAGATTGGATTTATACCCCACCCTTTGCTACCTGAAGGAGTCTCAGAGCAGCTTACAATCTCCTTGCCTTTCCGTTCCCCACAACAGACACCTTGTGAGGTAGGTGGGGCTGAGAGAGCTCTTTCGAGGACTGCCCTTGAGAGAACAGCTCTGAGAGAACTTGTGACTGACCCTAGGTCACACCAGCAGCTGCACGCGAAGGAGTGGGGAATCAAACCCGGTTCTCCCAGATTAGAGTCCACACACAAGGTGCTTTACAGTTATGAAAGGCAGTAAAACCTCCTCTAATTATTTCCTAGCACTTAAGAACTAAGACTTCTTCTGCCTTGAAAGTCTGCTCCTGGACTGGAAACCTTGGCTTTCGGTTGCTACCACCGATCCTCACCTGAAAGAATGAGACTTAAGTGCTCCTCTTGGCCACATTCTACAAAGAAGGAATTTTTGCCCACATGAGAGAGCACAAGATCTTGAGTCTCCAAATCCCACAGAACCAGAGTCAATCCTTCGCTCTCACTTGAGATGGTGAATAAGGCACTGAAACCTGTCACAGATTTGCACTCGGTTTTCACGCAGTCTCCTCGCTCTCCTGAATGCAGGCTCTTCCACCGCCTATCTCGTTCCTTTGCGCTTTTATGATCTTTCCTTCTTGCGTTGGAAAAGGCGTCAGCGACGTCTCGGACAAGGGTGGTCTCAGGTGTGTCGTGGGTCTTACAGTCACGGTGCTCTAGACGCAGATGGTGCTGATACCAAGGCAGGTAAACATCAGCTACCAAATTCGGAGAATAAACCCTTTGAGCTTTTTCATATAATGAAACTAGGTGTGCCTTCCAGGACCTAGGAAAAGGAGAAGAATGATGCCACCATTTTAACTGATGATACCATAAATGTCTAAGAGGAGCTAAATGGGATCAGAACACAGAGATCCAGACCAATGTTCCCTCTAAGCTGTGGGGTCTTGTGAGCAAAAATTCTACTTTGTGAGCCACTGGCATTAAGGTTGTGAGCGAGTGATTTGGCTGCTGCATACATCAGTTTGCTCCGGAGCCCTCCTTCCTGAGCGAAGACAAAAATATGTGAGCCGGAGGCTAAAAAACTGTGAGCTAGCTCACACTAACTCAGCTTAGAGGGAACACTGATCCAGACCATCATCTACTACACTTGATCTTAGCCAAAAGGCCGAGAAGCGACAATATTAGGATTTTAAAAGACATTCCATTTGATATAAGGCAGAAGAGAAAGAACTATAAAGAATTGACCCTTTTCTTACAAACAAATGGCATCAGTTACAGGTGGTTAATCCCAGAAGGTGTCATTTTCAAGCCCAACGATAAAAAAGAAAAGATTGACTCTGTTTTTAAAGCACGTGAATTTCTGCGGACACAGCTTGGGGAACCAGAAGAGGGCAAAGGGGAGGAAGAAGAAAGCAAATCTAATGGCGAGTTGGGCTCGGGGTCTTTGGACGAGGACTCCCCCTCTGAAAAGGGGGCTGCTGCTCCCAAAAGCTCATATAAATTGAGGCTTAGAAAAGATAAGAATAAATAAGGGCTGAAGGACTCTGATTTGTGCCTGAAAAAATGTTGAAATAACTTGGGGATGCTCTGGGAACTTCTTTAAACAGTTAAAGGGATGGTTAAACGATAATTAATCTAGCATAACCGACTAAGTTCATTGTATTATTAGTAGGTTTTTGAAAACAGCATGGTAATAAGCTGATGTATTGATCTCCTACCCTTGGGTTTTTAGTTAGTTGTGGGTCTTTTTTCTTTTTCCCCTAGATGTAGTTTCCCTTCCCTATATTTTCTGTTGTAGTTTTGTAGTCTGCAAAAAAAAATCAATAAAAACCTCCCCCCAGGGGGATGAAAGAAAAAGAAAAAAGACCATCATCTACAACAAGGGACCCAACACGGTGCCCAAGAGCAGCACGACGCCCAGCCACACCTTTCCTGGTGGGTGCCAAACATTTTTCAGAAAGTGGGCAGTGCCAGGTGGGGCGTTTCCCTACCAAGGCTTCTGATTGGCCATTGGAGATTGGATTGGTTGTGCAGACACATAGCTTCGGCAGCAGGTGTCACCACATGTCAACTGGTCCTTAGCTTTAAAGCCCTTTATGGCCAGGGTCTGACATACCTGAGGGACCGCCTTTCCCCATATACACCCTGGAGAGCACTGCGTTGAGGGACCCAGAACCGACTGGCCCTCCCAACTGTCAAGGAGGCCAGGCTGGCTGCAACCAGGGCCAGGGCATTTTCGGTGGTGGCTCCACTCTGGTGGAATGAGCTCCCAGAGGAGACGAGGGTCCTGCGGGACCTTTTGCAGTTCCACAGGGCCTGGAAAACGGAGCTCTTCAGCCAGGCTTTTGGTGCCGCCGCCACCACCAGCACAACTATTGGTGTCACTGTTAATATCAACAACTGACAACCATAACGAAAGCCCTGAGCTGCCGGGGCCCTGTGAGTGCTGCGCGTCCCAGTCTCCCCTAACTGAAGCAGACCAACAGAATTAAAGCAAAAAATTGGAATATGCTGAGACTTATACCATGTTTGGTTTTAACACTGTTTTTATATCGTTGTACTACTATTTATTAGGAAATGTATTAATGTAATGAATTGTGTTTTACGTATTACGAGAACTTTTATTCTGTTGTAAGCCGCCCTGAGCCAGCCTAGGCCGGATGGGCGGGATAAAAATCAACAAAAAATTAAATAAATGTTGATTTCTGTTCTCTGTGATGTTTTCGCTTAGAGCTGGAGGGTGGGGGGAGTGACTGGGGGGAAGGAATGTGTGGGGACGAGCTTTGGTAGATGCCTGCAGCTTTTCCCCAAGCAGACTCCTGAGGAGGGAGGACAATGTGTCCTTGAAGCCTCTGCTGCCAGGAGCACTACTACAGATACACTCTGTAGTTTGCGGGGGGCAACAGGACCACACATCGGCTTGGCGGGATGGATGACCACTGGGATTGGACCATGGCATAGGGGGGCTAGTTTGAAGTGGGTATACTAGTGGGCCTGGCGCCAAAGCCCACCAGTACTGTACTCTGAGCCAGTTTGGTGTAGTGGTTAAGTGCGCAGACTCTAATCTGGGAGAACCAGGTTTGATTCCCCCCTCCTTCACCTTTAGCTGCTGGTGTGACCTTGGGCAAGCCGTAGTTCTGGCACAGCTGTCCTTGAAAGAGCAGTTTCTGTCAGAGCTCTCTCAGCCCCACCTACCTCCCAGGGTGTCTGTTGTGGGGAGGGGAAGGGAAAGGAGTTTGTAAGCTGCTCTGAGACGCTGAGTGAAGAGCGGGGTATAAATCCAATCTCTTCTTCTTCTGACACCAGTTGACTTACACCTGTATCGACTGCATATCTCAATAAACAAATCTTGCACCTGAAGCATGTTGTTGGGCGTGAGTACGTACTGGGGGGTGGGGGGGAGTCTGACACCACGGCACAAGGATCTTCACTGTGGGACTTAAGGGAAGGGAAGCTACAGCAACTGTTCTGTGGCTCGTTCTGCCTCTTGTGGCAACCATTTCGTGGCTGGGCCCACAACGCTGTGCCAGAATTCTAAAGGTGCCCACAGGCTCAACCAGGTTGGGGATTCCTGTATGACAGGATATGGTAGAGCTACTGCAGCTGGGAGTTTTCTCATGTGAAACTTGCTGGGTCCCCTATGAAAGAAGCCTGCAAATACCAGACTGTACCACTGGTGATGGGAGCCCACGGGGAGCCACACCCCTTCATTATCAACCCCTCTGCCAAATTTCCGATGGTGCTGGGCAACCCCTGGCTCCAAGACCATGATCCGTAGATCCAGCGTCACCAAGGTGGGAAAACGGAGCCGTTGGTTTGGGCAGGTGGAATACCTTTGGGTTATTGGCTCATAACCTTTTACGGTCCCTGTTTGAACCTGGTATGTCCACTGCTTTCGCGCCTCCATCTTCAGTTCTAACACAGCCTACGTACAGGCTGGACCCTATTGATGTCTCAATAAACTTTTCATTCTTCTGAGTGAACGTTGTTGGGAACTGATTTCTCCGAGAGTCTGACACCTCAGTGAAATCAGTCTACACCTATTTGGTGCCTTGGCTCGGAAAGGAAGCCAGGGATCTCAGCTGGCACTCTTGGTGTTTTGCCCCCTCGAGTTATTTCAGTAACAAAAGAGGCAGCTTGTGCCAGAACAGTAAAATGGCACCCGTCTATGAATAAACTGGCCCGTCTCCTGCACTTTAGGAAGACACGGCCAACAGAAGAGAAGAAAAAGAAGAGATTGGATCTATACCTGACACCCTTCACTACCCAAAAAAGTCTCAGAGCGGCTTACAAACTCCTTTCCCTTCCCCTCCCCACAACAGACACCCTGTGAGGTAGGTGGGGCTGAGAGAGCTCTGGCAGAAACTGCTCTTTTTCAAGGACAGCTCTGACAGAACTATGGCTTGCCCAAGGTCATCCAGCAGCTGTGAGTGGAGAAGTGGGGAATCAAACCAGGTTCTCCCAGATTAGAGTCCGCGCACTTAACCGCTACACCAAACCAGAGATGAGTTAACATACCTGTCTGTCCGAAATGCCTGGTTCACAAATGTCATACTGTACTCTGAGCTTCTAAGGTCATCCTCATCCATCTCCTTCAGTTGCTCTACAGGGAGATTGTCAACGTTTCTCTTACACAGTAAATGTCCAGGATATTCTCTGTTGGAAAAGAGACATCAGTCAGCCAGCTACCTCCCAATATTGTATGAACTAACATGCCGCCCCCCCCCCTCCTCGAACGAGGTATGGGATATACACGGCATGCCTTCTTTTCATTGCACCAGTCCAAAAACAAACCCAAAATTTCACCCCTCACTTACTACTACTGTCTTTTCATCTCCTTGATATACAACAAAGGTCCAGACGGGTCTCAGTACCACAATCTATACGTGACTTTAAGACTGTCTGTTCATCAAAAACGACAAATAAAGCCAGACTTCCAGGTGCTCAAGAGCTACATCTCTGACAGTCTGATGGGTGCCCCAAATTACCCTCATAAGAGATACTGTTAATAACCAGTACAAAGTTTCCAAAGGGAAGCAAAAGATTAGGAAGACTCTTTGAGATAGATCAATGATAATCTAACTCGGAAGGTACCAAAATATGGATGAACCGGCTGAATGAAGTGGCAGCAACGTCTTCTGGAAATGAACCCACTAATGAATATTGGGGTGATCGATCGGCTCCTTTTTCCAGGGTTTCACTATAAGGAGCCTGCCAGGAAATTTCTTTATAGCGCTTGTGATCCACTCTTAGTGACGCAGAGCCAAACGAGGAGGTTGCTTCAAAGAAAACTAGCAAGCAATAAAAACCGAAAATCTACACGCCTGCTAGCATCATTTAAAACACGTACTTGAAATAGAAATCGAGGTCAACAGCCGCAGCGTGGCCAGAGCAGTTGGTGATCACAGCAACACTGAGATCATGCGAGACCGTTAGCGACGTCAGGGGTAACAGGATGGCCGGGTTCTTCTCGTCTGGCCCCTCTGCTTGATAGAGGGCAACATCAACATAGGCCAGATACGTTCCATCTATTGCATCAAAGACATCTTTGCACAAATGTTAAAGAACATCACTGGTCCAACCCTGTAAGAAGCGCAACATGCAAAGGAAGACTCGATTTCCATGGAAATGCCTGGCCTTTGCAAGAGAGCTGGGTGCAGCGTTCCAGTTTATACTGTTTTTGCCACACTCTGTGATGGCAAATGACACTGTGCCACCATCAGAATAATCTGCTTCTGCTGGCAGAGCTGGTCTCTGCAGAGTTACAAATTCTTCCTCCCTGGTCAGGTTGGTTCACACTATTCCCTAGAAGGGGAGTAAAGACCTAGAGCCGATGGCACCTTTTCTATTTGCAGATGTGGAATGTTGACTTTATGCAATAGTTTTATCTGCTGTTTGCTGTTTTTGCTTCTCTTAATACTATTATTCCTGCAGCTTTTTCACATATTTTATTTATTAATTATTTTATTTATTTAACTTTTATACTGCCCTCCCTGCTGCAGCAGGCTTACTATAAAACCTTAACATAAGAACAGAAGAGAAGCCAGTGTTGGATCAGGCCAATGGCCCATCCAGTCCAACACTGTGTCACACAGTGGCCAGAAATACCAGGGGCCACCAGGAGGTCCAGCAGTGGGGCCAGGACACTAGAAGCCCTCCCACTATTGCCCCCCCTCCGGGCACCAAGAATATAGAGCATCACTTGCCCCAGACTGAGAGTTCCTATCTATACCTTGTGGCTAATAGCCACGGATGGACCTCTGCTCCATATGCTTATTCAATTCCCTCTTGAAGCTGTCCATGCTTGTAGCCGCCACCACCTCAATTCCATGTGTTATTATCACTCTTTGAGTGAAGTACTTCCTTTTATCTGTTCTAACCCAACTGCTCAGCAATTTCATTGAGTGCCCACCTTAGAACGCTAGAGGAAGACTGACAGAGGGAGAGCCGTGCCAAGACTACTGTAGCAAAATAAAGCAGAAGTCCAGTGGCGTCTTAAAGACTAACAATGGCCCCGGTCACAGGGCAAAGTTGCCGCGGGAGAGGCACGGATGGTGGGCGGATTATCCGGGCGCGATCACACCCCAACATCTGGGAAGTGGAGCGCACCGGTGGCTTACCGCCGACAATGCGTCTTAAAAAACTAGTACCTCCAAGGTACTAGTAAACGTTTGCCACGGGCTGCCTCCAGACACCCGTGGTGTGATCACGCCAGCGCGCGGCATTCCCCTCCAGTCCCTCGTTTACCCACCGGCACCGAGGGAAGGACCTGTGGTGTGCCGCCGGCACATCCGATCACGTAATCGCATCAAACTGCAATTAGCCATGCCTCCCCTCCGCAATATCTGGCCTGTGTGACCGGGGCCAATGTTTATTCCAAAGTGGCACTTTTAGAACCAACAAAGTTTAATTCAAGGTATGAGCTTTTGTGTGCATGCACACTTCCTCGGATACACTGAAATGGAAGTTAACAGTCCATACATGTTAACTTCCATTTCAATGTGTTTGAGGAAGTGTGCGTGCACACAAAAGCTGATACCTTGAATTAAACTTTGTTGGTCTCAATGGTGCCACTGGACTCAATTTTTTGTTCTACTGCTTCAGACCAACAGGGCTACCCCACCTTCAGGTGCTACAGATTAGGTAGGTGGATTATTACCCTCACACTGCGGAGGGGGGCGGGCCCTGAAGCTGACGGATTGCCTTGCCCAAGACCACCCAGCGAGGTTGTGCCAGAGAGGAGACTCAAACCACACAGTTTATCCTCTTAACCACCAGGTTACAGTTTCGCTGGGCAATTCTTCTTGGTAGATTTCAGTTAATTGTTTTAATTGATATTTTAACTGATTTATTATCAGCATTTACCAACTCAAGAGCTATCACGGTTGCACAATGGTTATACAGACGCTAAATTTACTTAGGTAAAGGTTTCCCTTGCTCAAAAGCCAGTCGAATCCAACTCTAGGGATGCGGTGCTCATCTTCGTTTCCAAGCCGAAGAGCCAGCGCTGTCCAGAGACATTTCTGTGGTCATGTGGCCAGCATGACTAGACGGCAAGGCACAGGGAACGCTGTTACCTTCCCACCAAAGCGGTCCCTATTTATCTACTTGCAATTTCTTGCTTTCGAACTGCTAGGTTGGCAGGAGCTGGAACTAGAGACGGGCGCTCACTCCATCATGCAGCAACTCAGGTCTCGAACTGCTGAACTACTGACCTTCCACAGCCTGCAGTTCAGCGTCTTAACCACTTGAGCCACCGCAGCAGCCCCAAGTAAATATACAACCCCAGCTGAATATAGCAGAACAGACCAAGGGCAGAAATTCTTGAAAGAGACTGGCGTTTCATCTTAACTATTTTAAATTCAAGACTTGGCAGGCTGCATAGCCTTCAACAAACCTCAGATCTATTCCCCCACCACCACCACTTAAAGGCACCCTTTCCTTATAAAGGATACATATCCACCCAGACTTGTCTAACAAGATGATAACGCCTCTGCAAAAGGAAACATCCACGATCCTTTCCAAAACTTGTGGTGACAGGTCAAGGAAAAAACAGTCTTCCAGGTCTTCGGCCTCCCGTCCTCCTCCCGGAAAACCAAGACGCACGACAATAAAGTTGTTGAGCATCAGGACAGCTCTGCTGTTTTCAAAGGAGAGCACTCTCAACGAGGAGACCGGCGCTAAACCTGAACGAGGAGGTGAAAAGGTCATTCTCAGACGCGGCAGCAAAAGGAACAGCCACAAAGCTGGGATGAACCTCCCGTGCGCTCTCTCTCACTCCCCCACCCTGAAGGGGGGAGAAGCCACTGTTGGTCTTTCCCGTCTTTGTTCAAGCAAGCAAGTGCAGGCACCTTTCAAACAGCCCACGTCATGCAATCCAAAAGCGAGTTACATCCTTCAAAGCCCCCAGGGACTGCAGTGGAACTTTCACAAGTGATAACAGGGAGTGGACCACAGCTCAATGGTGGAGCCTCTGCTTGGCACGCAGAAGGTCCCAGGTTCAATCCCGGCATCTCCAGTTCAAAAGGACCAGTCGGGAGGTGACGGGAAAGACCTCTGCCTGAGACCCTGGAGAGCTGTAGAGAGGGAACTTGGCTCAGTGAAAGAGCCTCTGCTTGGCATGCAGAAGGTCCCAGGTTCAATCCCTGGCAGCATCTCCAGTTAAAAAGGGCCAGGCAGGAGGTGATGGGAAAGACCTCTACCTGAGACCCTGGAGAGCTGTAGAGAGGGGCCGTGGCTCAGTGACAGAGCACCTGCTTGGCACGCAGAAGGTCCCGGGTTCAATCCCCGGCATCTCCAGTTCAAAAGGACCAGTCGGGAGGTGACGGGAAAGACCTCTGCCTGAGACCCTGGAGAGCTGTAAAGAGGGAACTTGGCTCAGTGGAAGAGTATCTGTTTGGCATGCAGAAGGTCCCAGGTTCAATCCCTGGCTACTCCAGTTAAAAAGGGCCAGTCAGGAGGTGATCAAAGACCTCGGCCTGAGACCCAGGAGAGCCGCTGCCAGTCTGAGTAGGCAGCCCTGACACTGGGGTCTGATTCAGTATAAGGCAGTTTCACACGTCCAATACCTGCCTAATCAAGTTCCATCTTCTCCTCACGGGCTTCAGTTCAGTAAGAGGGTATCTAGCTCTAAGAACGATCCCAATTCATGAGATGGATTTACTCTGCTAGGCCCCCCCCATAAACTAGAACACTGTTTTTTCGAACGAATGTTACATTTATAGACACTCACTGATGTTTTTTTGTTCAACCAGCTTCATTAGCCTGTCTTCACTGCAGCTGTGCACGAGCGTCACTTCACAGTTCCGAACCTTGGGAAAAACTTCATATACAGACAGTTCCCTGGTCTGGCTTACAGTCAGTAGTTTCAGTTTGTCCACTGTTGGATCATTGTCTTCAGAATTCTCCCACACAAAGCTGGGAAACGATATTTTTAATACACAACTTTTATCTCTCATTCTTGTCTTCTGAACGTCTAAGCATACTGTGGTTTATAAAGATATTGCCCATGATACCATCAAGCGTCATTTCTGATTTACTGAATACATTCATTCTCTGCTTTTCCAGTGAGTGAGGCTTACAAAACAGAAGCACTGGCTAACCACTCCGATGGAATGGCACACAATTCTAGAAAAGATCCCAAGACTAGAGAACCAGGCACAGGAATTTCAAGACAAGGACACCAAACAACACTAATTCATTCTGCCTGATAATTTTAACAGGCAAACAAAACTCCAGTAACTGCTTCCCATTACTCTAATTTTTTGCAAAGTGTGTGTCAGGTTAGAAGGGACCAAAGGGCAACACACTGAAAAGTGACAGGTTGTCTATTACTCATGCATCACACTTTCAGAAAGCAAGCCAAACAAAGCAGGCCAAGGGACCACCGGCAGGTGTGTGGTTCATGCGCGTTCCCCACGGCTGCTCTCAGCAAGGTCTTTACTGCGGTGGCCCCTGTTCTCTGGAACTCCTTCCATTGGAAGCTGCAGAGAGGAGCCAGAACTGGCCTCCCAGGGAACCTGCAGGCTGAGCAGCTTTGCCTCGGCAGCCGACTGGGTTCTTCTGCTGCTCCCCCTGATCTGGGAGATGGATCCTAGGGCTTGGGCTTCACGCCAAGCCGTCTTGCAGCTGAAAAGCAGCCTAAAAAGGCGGGCAAAGCACGAATGGATGGGTGGGTGGCAATTGTCCCTCTAAGCTGTGGGGTCCTGTGAGCAAAAACTCTACTTTATAAGCTACTGGCAATAAAGTTGTGAGCAAGTTGGCTACTGCATAACTGAGTCTGCTCCGGAGCCCTCCTTCCAGAGCTAAGACAGAAATCTGTGAGCCGGAGGCTAAAACCCTGTGAGCTGGCTCACACTAACGCAGCTGAGAGGGGGACACTGGTGTGTGGGCCGCCAGTTGGCTCTGGCACACCAGACTGGGTGGCCAGAACGGGCATCGTCTTGTGGCAAGAGGGACGTTTTCACAGCCCCCCCCCCAGACACTGTGGGTCGCCAACCCTGGGTTGGGAAATTCCTGGAGATTTGGGGGTGGGGGATTTGGGGAGACAACGCCACAGAGCCCCCTCCCAAAGCCGCCAGTCCCTCCCGGGGAACCTGATCTCTGCACCCTGGAGTCTCCGTTGCAATTCCGGGAGCTCTTTGGGCCCCGCCGCCGGGAGGTTGGCAACCCTCCCGGCCGCCCAAAGGCTTCCTTATTTGCCTATATCAGGGTATGCAAATAGCTCTGGGGGGGGGGGCCCTGCTCCTCCGTCCCACTTACTCTTGGCAGACGCCGGGCAGGGCGACGAGGGCGGGCCGGCGGCTCCCGCCGCCTCCCTCCCACCCAGGCCCGGTCCAGCGCAGCTCCTGGGCGGCGGGGGAGGCGACCGCCAGGGCCTCCTGGCGACGGCTGAGCTTGGCCCGGGCGAGGGGCCCCGGCGGCGCCTGGAGAGGCAGCAGGAGGACGGGCAGCGCCCCGGCCATGACGCTCCCCGCAGCCAGCTAGCCCTGCGGCCGAGCTGAAGCCCGTCTCCGGACTACAGCCCCCAGAGGGCCTCGCGGCAGAGGGGAGCGGTGCACGCCGGGAGATGTAGTCCCCGCCTCACAGGCCCCGGCGAAGAGGCGTCCTCAAGAGGCGGGGATTAAAACCCCGCCTCTTGTTTATTCGTTTTGAAATTAAGAGGCATGATCCGTTCCGTTCCATTCCACGGCTCGGTTGTGGTTGTTATGTCACAACCGGCATCGTCTCGTTCGTTAACAACCTGAACAGAAACGACAGTTGTTAAAAAATAAAGAACTCCCCCCGGGGGGCCGATCCGCCGCCTCAGAGGCGAGCGCCGTGACGACGCCCTCCTTCCGGTTCCCGCCCCCGCCGCGGCCGGAAGTGGCGTCCTGAGGGGGCTCCGGGGCTGGGCTGGGGGGGGGATGCTGTCGCTGGTGCCGGGCCTGGGCCTGCTGTGGCGGGCGTGGTGGCGGGGGCCGGTCCCCCCCGGCGGGGGCCATGAGCCAGCGGCGGCCGGGCGGGAGAGCCGGGCCCGAGGCGGCATGGAGCAGGAGCGGGCCCTCGAGGTCTACGGTCAGCGTCCGTCCTTCAAGCAGAGACATCAGACCGTGACCCTTGCAACCCAGTGGGGGGTTTTAAAAGGCCTCGTCGTCGGGTTCTAAAAGGTCTTGCCACTTTGGCGTGGTGGTGGGGAATCGGCGGACTCTAATCTGGGAGAACCGGGTCCGATTCCCCACTCTTCCCCCTCCACAGGCAGCCAGCTGGGTGACCTTGGGTCAGTCACAAGCTCTCTCGGAGCTGTTCTGTCAGGAGCAGTCCTCGAAGGAGCTCTCTCAGCCCCGCCCACCACACAGGGTGTCTGTCTGTTGTGGGGAGCGGGAGGGAAAGGAGATTGGGAACCTCCCTGAGACTCCTTCGGGCAGGGAAGGGCGGGAGTCTAAAGCCAGACAAGTCCTCCTCCTGCCTCTTCTTCTTAATGATTAGAGGCCAAGATAGTCTTGACAGGTGTTTTATACAGGTGTTAGGAGAGGTTGAATTTATTATTGTGTTTTATATGTGTTCGTGGAGGTTGCATTTATTATTATTGTGTTTTATATGTGTTAGTGGAGGTTGAATTTATTATTATTGTTGTTGTTGCGTTTTATACATGTTAGTAGAGGTTGAAATTATTATTATTTTATGTTAATATGTAAACTTCCTGAGAGTGTTTTGATATCGTGAAGGCCTGTGGCCACATACGATAAAACGATTCTAATCTAATTTGTTGCCATTAAAGTAAGGCCGGTTTAGTGATAGAATCCTAAGCCAATTTGGTTGAAGTACTTAATACGGACCTCGGGATATGCTCTAATACCCATTTCGTGTGGCCTCGAAATGTCCCTGAAACTGGTCACGTTTCAACATTTTCTTGCAGCACCTGAACCCCCCAGCTGGATGGGCTCGCCGGAACCTATTCTGGGCTTGCCCTTCGGACCTTGCCGGTTGTTGCCCTATTGTTGCTAATTGCAAAGGGCCCCCCATCCAATGCTCCTTCTAAGCTGTGGAGTCTTGTGAGCAGAAATTCTACTTTGTGAGTCGCTGGCATTAAAGTTGTGAACAAGCGATTTGGCTGCTGCATAAATTAGTTTGCTCTGGAGCCCTCCTTCCCGAGCTAAGACAAAAACGTGTGAGCCGGAGGCTAAAAAACTGTGAGCTAGCTCGCACTAACTCAGCTTAGAGGGAACACTGGCCCCCATAACAGTTCAAGCTTCAGGGTCCCAAGAGTGCAGGTCCACCATTGCAGCCCAGGGAGGGCATGGGCTGTGCCTCCATCTGGTGCACGTGTGGCTTTGGCTTTGCCTGAGGCGAGAGCTGGCTGGGGCCTTTTGCAGGAGAGGAGAAGAGCAGGAGTCCAGCAGCACCGTAGAAGACCAGCAGGATTTGGGGCAGGGGAGGAGCTTGCGTCAGTCACTGCGGTCAGTTCTTCACTTACAACTAGAATGGGAGTCGGTCTGCCCTGTATGTCGGAGAGTGCAATGATTTTCAGCTGCCAAATGACAATAGCAGGTGAATGACAATTGCAGGCTTGGTCAGATGTAGGTGAGATGTGCGAGAGGGGTAGTCAGGCGTGGAGAAATCAGCATTGGAAATGAGACAGGAAACTGACATCTTGATTCAGACCAGGGGGATGCGTTGTCTTGAGCTTCCTTGTCAGCTGCAATTCAGCAGTCTGAAATCAGTTGCAGTTCAGCATCTGACATGACTCCACACTCCAGTATACAGGACAGATGGACTCACATTCTAGCTGCATTTGAAGAAATGAGCTAGTGACTCACGCAGGCTCCTCCCCTGCCCCAAATTTTGTTAGTCTTTAAGGTGCTGCTGGACTCTTGTTCTTTTCTACTGCTACAGAGTAACACAGCTATCCATCTGGATCTATCTCTATGGAAGGCATTGCAATTAGCCATACACAGTGGAAATCCATCAGCCTTGTGATATAAGGACAGATGGACTCACATTCTAGCTGCATCTGAAGAAGTGAGCAGTGAGACCCACAAAAGCTCCTCCCCTGCACCAGATTGTGTTAGCCTTTAAGGTGCTGCTGGACTCTTGCTCTGTTCTGCTGGCACAGACAAACGTGGCTGCCCGTCTTGATGCCTTTTGGTTCTTGCGCAGACATAATCCGGACTATCCGGGACCCTGAGAAGCCCAACACTCTGGAAGAGCTGGACGTGGTGACGGAGAGCTGTGTGGAAGTGCAGGAGATCCGTGAAGATGAGTTCTTGGTGATCATCAGGTTCACGCCGACCGTCCCTCATTGCTCATTGGCTACGCTCATAGGTAGGGCCTGTCCTTGCTGCTGAGCCTGTGGGGGAAAGGAGTAACACTGCAGCTTGGGGGGGGGGCAGTGTTTTTGCTTGTTTTCTTTGGAAGGGTGTATTGCAAGCAACACAGCTGAGTCTTGGGTCCCTATGCTGGCTCTGACTTGATGGCCCTTTCCACCGCCAAACTGTTCTCTAGTACGCCGACTAATTAGATTCCATATGAAAATACAAAGGCGTGTATTTTAAAAATGAAATAGGGCTGCACTGTACTGCGCTCTTAAAGCAAGCTGTTTCTTGCCGGCAGATGTGGCCCTAAACTCGCTGTGCCACTTTTTTGTTTGCAGGAGAGTCTGTAGGGACTGGTACGACACGTGGTTGCAAGAATTGGTGGCCTGTTGGTGTTTGGACCAGCTAAGAAATTCAGCCTGTTTTTGCTCCCACAGTGGCCACTACGTTACATGCTGGTGGTGGGCGGGGTTCTCCTGAGGTGCCCTGGTGAAGAGGCGTCAAGAGGCTAGGATTAAATCCCTTAGTGCCCATTCTCCTGAGGCTGAGGCTCTGGCACAACAGGAGGGTTGCTGCCTCCCCTCCTCCATTGGCTGGAGCCGTGGAAGTCTTGAAAGAAAGCCCAGTGAAGGGCAAAGTTCAGAGTGTTGCAAGAAACTCTTTGCTGTGTGGCCTAGAAAGTCAGCCCCTGTGCACAGGGGGAGAGTTCAAGCCGTGGGGCCTGATGCTTCTGTTGGTCTGAAGCAGCAGAACAAAGTCTGAGCCCATAGGCACCTTTAAGGCCAAGCAAGTTTTATTCTGGGGATAAGCTTTTCGGTGCACACACTTTGTTGGTCTTAAAGGTACCACTGGACTCAAACTTTTTTTAAAATAAAAGTTTCCTTGTGTTAACGATTTCATCCCTAACCTCAAAATCCATTTGCAGGGAGAATAAGCAGGTGCACGGAGGGTCAACATTCCCCCCCTTCCCCCCCCTTCTCAGTAAGTGTCCTGTTTTCCCCCCACATTCCCACAGCCGCGCAGCAAACAGAATTGGGAGCATGCAACTGCCAAAAATGTTCAGTTTCTCCCAAGACTCTTTAAAAATATTTTCAAGATGATGAAATCGTTAACACAAGTACACTCCCCGCCCCGAGTTCAGTGGCACCTTTTAGTGCATGCAGACAAAAGATTATCCCCAGAATAAAACTTGGTTGGTCTTAAAGGTGCCACTGGACTCAGAGTTTGTTCTGTTGAGAACAGTCTTTGAAAATAGTTGCTCTTCATTTTATTTTAAGCCTTTTTCACAATTCAGGAGAGAAAGGAAATTTTTAATTTTTCCCCATGGAAAAATGGGACATTTGGGAAGGTTCTAAAATATTTATTTATTTGATTGAATGGAATGGGGGGGGAGCAAGGTGCGTGTGACATCTTTTTCCTGCCTCTTAGGTGCAGTGCATGAGTGCTATCGGATATATTTGTGGGTTTTGCATGTAGAAAACAGAAGCATTTTTATATAATATACCAAATACCAGAACTTTATATTCTACATAAATTGTAAATAGCACACTGTACGCTGTTAAAGAAGTAAAAGGGGTTTAGGTTTGGCAAAGCGTTGCATCTCTATTTCATATTTCCCGATATTTTTTTAAACCCCGCTTCCCCTCCCCCCCGCCTTCAGAATGGCTGTAAACTTTACATTTCTCTGGCTGAATCACTTTGCTCTTTGACCATCATTAAATGGTGCTTTGCAGTACTGCACAGAAAGAAAATTAATGTCATTTCAATTACAGGGCTGTGCTTGAGGATCAAGCTTCAGAGATGTTTGCCTTTTAAGCACAAGGTATGTGATGTGACACGAGGTACATCGGCATTTGTATCAAAAAATAATTTGAGAGGTGGGTTGCCAGGTTATGTCGGGTGCTTTCAGATTTCACCCTTTTCCTGCTGTGTGACTTCTGAGGATGCTGTTGTGGAAGAGTGCGTAGCAAAAAGCCCATTTTGAGTTCAAATAAGAATCTGAATGGGTTGGGATCCTAACTTCTGCCTGTGAAAGGTGTATGGCTCTTTGCCGCATCTCATAAGAACATAAGAGAACATAAGAGACGCCAATGTTGGATCAGGCCAAAGGCCCATCCCGTCCAACACTCTGTGTCACACAGGGGCCAGAAATACCAGGGGCCATCAGGAGGTCCAGCAGTGGGGCCAGGACACTAGAAGCCTGCAGTCTCCTGCAGTCCTGTCTGACCCTGGGGTCGTGGAGCTCATGTGGTGGAGGGGGTCGTGGAGCTCATGGGGTGGAGGGGGTCGTGGAGCTCATGTGCTGTCTCTTCTGTCGGTCGAGCTGTCCTAATGGTGGAGGGAGGAGAGGGTGGTTTTTGTCCATGCAGATTCTGGGAATGCACTTTGCCTCGTTTGGAAGGCATCGCTTGGGGTAGGGGAATGGAGCAAAGACCAGTGCTTCTGCTGGTCGCAATTGGGACCCTGTCCTGAGCGTCTAGTGCGGTGATGAAGAAATACACATCTGTGGGTGTGCCAGTATCTAACTTCCCCAAGATATTTGAGGCTTCTTCTAAAGACTTAAGTGGCATGGTGAAATTTAGGGTATTCCCGCACTCAGTTCCTCATGCAGAATGTGATCCTGAGAGAGAATGAAACGAAACAAAGCCGAAGGAGGTGAAGGCAATGAAACGATGGTATTTTTCTTCGTTAGGCCGGTCCACTGAAAGTGCCAGAGTGCAGGATGCAGCTGGCTCTCAGTTTTGGTGTAACCCACCCCAAACGGTCTCTGGTCCTGGTGTGGTGACGGTTAGCTAGAGACCCTTCCCATAGTTGGATACATGTGAGGTTTAAGTGTGGCAAGCCAGCTATGCGAGTAGCAGTGTGTATTCTGTACAGATACTTGGAGTCCTGTGTTAAATGAATAAAACATCTCTAAGCCTACTCTCTCTCTCTCTCTCCTGTAGCTGGAAATCTACATATCAGAGGGAATGCATTCCACTGAGGAGGACAGTAAGTGCGTCTTCAGTTTATGTTTCCAAACCAACCGGACCCTTGATGTTTATGTGGCGAAGGCTGCAAAGTGACTTTGCTAGTCTGGACAATGCTGGGGGCAGACATAGCTGTACTTTTATGAGCTCTTACGCACATGTCCTCGGCCCTTTGTGAGAAATAGGTGGTGTGATGGAATCAGTCATCCTCCCAAATAGATACACAACAGTTGCAACACAAAAAAATTTAGTGTGCTAGGCAGGAATCTAAGAAGCCATTTTGTTGGGGGGGGGGCGTGTCTAATTTTGGCCTTTAAAGAAAACATGTTTAAAAACAATTCAGCTGCTCTGGGATCACCAAACGGCGGGGAGGGGGAATATTTGGATTTTTTTTTATCTTAATGTAGCTTGAAAGAGAACACAACAAGAAAAAGGGAAGTTACATTCACAGTAGCTTATGAAACTTTCATGACTCGTTTCGGTTCATTACATTCTTACTAATCAGAGATGCAGCAAAAATGCTTTTTGCCTAAACCAGTATCTGTTTGCTGAAAAGCAGTTCAGGGCTTTGTAGATGAACTTCATCACCTCCCCGTGCCCCTTTAATTCAAGCCAGGAGGCTAGAACTTGGGCCAGGACTTGTTTTTACTTCCAGGGCTCAGTCCAAGAAATATAAAGTTACTGATAGTCTCTGAGCACTAGCAAAGTGCCTTCTTTTAAAGTCATGGAGTGACTTTAACCAGTCTTTCATAAAGGTATATAAATTTAATATAAAAGTAGGGCTTTTTTTAAAAAAAGGCAGCTGTACCTTCCTGTGGCTTTGTGAGTATCTGGTGAGAGTATTCCTCAGCCTTAGAAAGAGGGATCATGCTTCTAGGAGGCAGAGAAGTAGTGGAGCCTTCACCTTAACTTTCCGCAATTTTATGTGGTACAGGAAAGGACACAAGCAGCAGTAGAGATCTGTGCAGAAGGCTTTGCCGGTGCCAGAAGCACTGGCTCATCCCAGCAATTGACGGCAATTAATCTGTACTGAACCAACCTCGTTCAGGAGGTTTTTAAAAACATTTTTTTCCAGCCTTGGGAAATAACTGCAGATCAAGACAGAGGCTTTAGTCTGAGTGGCACACTGCTAATCTTCTGTTCAGGAGGCAAGCTGCAGGGCCCTGCTTCTGGTGTCGAGTA